CTTTTATAAGACTAATATTGGTGGAGAGAACGATTTTCATGCTCTGGACTTTCTATAATGTAAAGACAGAACATGTGCATTTTTCATTTATCCATTGTATAGTACTGAATAAATAATGTAGATTATTTTTATGATTGGCACCACATTTATCCCTTCTGTAGGGTGCAGTTTATATTTTCATGCACTTGATTAAGAAACATGGCACAGCATTCATTTGGATGTAAAGGACTTGTAAATTGGCGTCTTCTATAACAAATCTCAGTCACGGTTCAGTGTCTTTCTCAAGGACACACAAAACCCCTGAACCACTGACCCTCTGATTTGTGGATGACATGCTCCTCTTCCTGTGCCACAGCTGTTGCATGTTACACCACTATTTCCTTTCACCACTATATCCAGCTGCATGTGGGCACTTACCCAAGCTGATCCTCTTCTCCATCCAGGCCAGCAGGTCTTTGGCGTAGCGGCACCACATTTTGGCGTACTGCAGCGCCGTCTCCACGCCATCCCCACAGCGACAGAGAGCCAGGTCTGCTTCCTGGGCTGAGAGGGAGTACATCAGCATCACTGCAGGCTCCACACGCTTGGAGCTGTATCCAGGGATCACACACCGTCGACTGGGCAACACCTCGACTATGCTGGAGGTCTCAAACAGCCCCCAGCCTCAAAGAAACATCTATCCTCTGAAAATCCCCAAAGCTTTTACTAGACAAGATGAAAATACCCAAGAACTTTACACAAACCCAAAACAGGAAACAATGACGGCATATGGTAAGTCATTCTGCTCTTATGAAGAAAGGTCCTGTGGTTTCCAGTAAGTTTCAGGATCATGCACTTATCCCTTGCATGAAAACTGTGAAAGGTTGGCAGAAAATATTTTTATCAGCCCTTAATCTCCCAGATGACCCAAATGAGGATGTGACCTGACAGAGGAGGGTTTGTATGGATGGCATCATCTAAATAACTTCCCTCCTCACACTTCTTCCTCTCTGTACCTGACCACTCCCTCGCACACCTGTTCACTTCTGGTCAAAGCTGTACGGGGAGAGCTTGGCCACAAACACCGCTCAGAGCCAGTGAGCAGCTGTGGTGAGGCAGACAGGGCGTTTATGTGACAACCACTCTCCACCCTTCCCCCTGTAACTCACACCAACACAGGCCCGGATGATGTTTGAGTGACAACAAGCGACAGTCACACATTCTCTAGAACTGACTCTGCACCGCTTCCTATTTTCTTTATCCCCTCTTCAACTCAATTTTCCAAATAGATATTTTCTTTAAAATCTGAGTTCGTCCTGTAGCCAATGGTTGCAGTTCAGATGCTTTCACTTCTTTATATGGACCACAGGGCAGTTCTGAGTATCCAGCTCAGAAACAGGGCAACAACAACTTCTCTCTCACGCTCCTCAACTCAGATGTGCAGATTTGATTCTGGTCTGTCCACTCTACACAGGTGCCAAATACAGTTAAAGAATGGTGCCAAAATCCAAACAGGGTTTTCTTCTCTGTCTTCAAGCAAAAATCCACAAGAAAGAAAGAACAGGCAACTCCAGAAAACAAAGAATGGACCACTTTTATAAACCGGCAGCCTCCGAGCAGAATCTGTGCTGCCTCATGGCTACTTGGCTTCCAGCGCTTGGATTGAGGGATTATCCTGGCCAGGTCCAGATTGCGGAGTGACAGGCTTTAAAGGAGCATGAGCAAGGTTTACCTCCTGGTGTGTGACTGAGCACGGTATAAAGGGGTGGGGAGGGAGATGGTGTTCCAACCCAGCCAATGAGAAGCATGAAACCAGATTGCCAAAGAGCATTTTCTCGGAAAGTGTGATGTTCTGATTACATTACATGAAATGCCCGCATGCATTTTGTTTGCTGCTCAAAACTACTCGCGTCTGTAATTACTGATCTCTTACTGTTGTTTGAGTCAATCTGAAATTGAAGTACTATGAATACATCCAGTCTTTTTCTCCATCTCCCTTAACCTGCGTAATACTGACACCCCCTCTTTCTTCGGACCTCTCTGTCCCCCCCTTGTGTCTAAGGTAAAAGCTGAGAGCAGCTGCCTCCGGCTTTAATCCTCTCCCTTTATCCTAATCTCGTTACAGCCGCTCAATTAAAACTCATGGCTAATAATAAAAAAAACAGGTAAAGAAGAAGAAGCTCTTTTAAGAGACGCACAGTGACACCAGTTACCGCACCTCATCACTGAGGATCTGGTGGGATGTCAGTCAGAGTTTTGTTAACTTAAGCAGGAGATTTGAATCATTACAGGTCTAATTTAACTGGAAACACAGTGACACACAGGAGATGCAACAAACACCTTCACACGCTCTCTCTCTCGCCCACACACAAACATACAAATTATACCTGATGGGTTTCCATCTGGTTCACAGGCTTCAGAGCGTGTCTGAGGACAAAGTGCATCTTCACTCTGTTGAGAAGAAAAGAAGAACAGACTTAATCCTTCCTGAACTCACCAACAATATTCTTTAAGCAAGTTCCTTAAAAGCAATCAACTGTTGTCAGTGATAAACAACAACTTAAGCAACAACAGATGTAAATATTTCTTGTATTTTGATTTTAAAAACTTGGTATGGATCCCTTACAGACACATCATGTTGGTCTATGAGCTCTGTGCTGTCTGCAGTGAGGGATTCTGGGATGGACAGTGAGTCGATGTCCACCAGATAATCGTCCCCTGTTCTGAGCACAGAAAGGATGGATTGAATTGGGAGAGAATCCAGTACAGTCAAGTAGTAATAACCAATAAGAATCACACAAATACTCCTTCAGTCCATTCTAAGGTCCAATAAATTCATTTATACACGTTTGACGATTTTTCTCAATGCACCTCTACTTCCAGCGGTCTCAGTGGTTGTCATAAGGTTGGTGTAGATTGAAACAGACTTTACTAAAATGAAGATTGATAAAGTTTTTCATGAACGTACTCTATACTGAGAGATCACATCCAGCTGAGTTCATATTCTGGATTTACTGACGAACGTATCAGTTTCATCCTGCTTTAAAATATACTTTTATAAGTATTAAAAGTTATTATCATTTCTTATTGAATTCTAATTCAACAGTTCACTACATCATTATGGCAGAGTCAATGTGATGGCGTTAGGTTTCTCCACCACTGATGCTGCTGCTCTCATTGAAGGAAGAAGGGTCTAACGTTACCAACCCCCTATGGTCATATCAGTGAACCGGTTCCTCTCTTGTTTTTACTTTTAAAACTAAAAAACAATATGAACATATAATACAATGCATTATGTTGCACAGTAGAGAGTGCAGATATGTTCTGATATATGTAGTGGGAAAAGGTGCCTGAAAATAAATCTACTACAATCATGATATAAAGAACTGAATTAACTATTTGTAATACTTACGAAGAGATCAAAGATAAATCGAGATTATCAAAGTCTCGGAATATCTCACTGTATCGCTTAGTTTCCGATTTACCATGCACCTTCTTCACATCTGAAATGAGAAATGGAAATCTTAAATACATAAAACAACACAATGGTTTTAGTATTTACCGTATGTTACACTATTGTACATTTGCGATCCTGAAATATTATCCTCATCAGCACATCACACAAAGCTGATGACTGCATATTATTTAAGGCCAATCCCTTTATGATGCTTTCTTTATTTTTTTTAATGCCACAAGTCAAACTGATATATGTGGGATGTAGTGATGAGTGAAGCAGCTCTCTCTGTAAATGCCAAATGTACAACACAATAATACAATTTAAAACAGATATAAATACATAAAAAGCCTTTAGATAGAAACAATTACATGAAGAAGATGATAAATAAAGAAATCAAACTCAGCTTCTTGTCCTGAAATCATATCTGGCATTGTTTCCTTTACCGACTGTTAACTTAAATATGTGAAAAACATCTCGATAACAAATCATCAACCTTCTGTAGTCCCACTAACTGCTGGTTCATCGCAGGATTTACAACAGATGCAACAAATGTTGAAAAGCAATCTCACTCTCTCAGAGACATCTCCGTTTCGGTCAACCACATCCTGCTCGCAATGTGTGTCACGCTCCATAATGAACATAAAGTCCTTGTTTTTCACAGCAGCAGTGTCTTAGTGTAAGAATGAGAATTGAGAGTCAAGTGAGATGTTTGACAAAAGGTACTATGAGGACAAATTCCACTTCAGGGCCTTTTGCTGTTTTTTTGTTTGTCGTTTAGCTGCAATATATGAAATCTAGATTCTTCGCTTTTTTCTAAAGCTGCATTTCCTGTTGAATAGAAATACAGAAGTCATGCAAAAAAGACAGAACAAGAATGTGTCAAAATGGAGAAAGGGTTCAGGAAGTTCACTGCTCGTCTGACTGAGGATGCACTCAGCACCACAAACCTCCTGACAAACACAAAAGAAACTGAGTATCCAGGTCCATTGTGCACACAGTACATGTATGGGAGCACATGCGATAACCATGTCAAAAGTCACCGAGCAAATTTCAAATCAAATGAAACGGATATAAAAGCATATTTATGAAGTGATAAACACTCACATTGTTCGTGCTCACCTGTGGCTTGGGGTGAATCCTGGTTCGACACTTGCTCTTCTTCCATCTCTGATCTATTCAGCACCACTGCAAAAACCCCTAACAACACCACTCACTCACACATCATCTACACCTCAGGTCACACTACGCAACAGGAGGAGGCAGGAAATGTGTCCTGCAGTGCGTACATGTGCCTACACACTTATGGTAAATCATTACCATGCAGCTCTGAGTTGGCTGCCGTTGGTGCTGTCACAGTGATCTTCCTCTGACAGACTGGTTGGCCAATATTTTCACCAGCAGGGGAAGAGGAAGTATGTATCTGTCAGTGCAGACCCCGCCCACGCTTTGACTTTATGCACAGTGAGAATTTTTTTTTTTTTTTTAGATGGTGAAAAGGTTTTATGATCCTGTTTGTAGCGGGTAACGTCAAAGAGGAAACATTTTGAATGGTATGTATTTTAACAGACTGCGGATATTAGCAGGTATTGGTGTGAACACAGCTGATACTTAACATCAGAATACATCATTTTACAAAGACTTCAAATATAGTCTGAACTAATTTGTTCATTTCTTATTGCTCCACATACTTTTTGGGAATATATCATACGGCTAACATTAACACAAACTGCTTCTACAACGTGCCTCAAGTAGACGCATTTCTGACATTTGACTTCAGAATCAGTTTTTAGGAACAAGGAAATTCTTTATCTTTTATTGCATAAACACAGTGTGGTGATCAGTAATATAGGACTTTGAAGACATTGTACTGAAAACTACATCTGTTCAGGAGAAACCACACAAGCTTGGAAAAGGTGGCCACAATCACGAAAACTGAGACGGCTGCTAAAAGACAAATGCAAGGATATCGATAGCACCATCCTATACTCATACATTCAAAGGGTGTAAAGCTCTGGCAGCTTGCACAGCTGTCAGTCACTCCTCTAACTGGGATTAATGATTGATTTGATTCTTGATAGTTTGACTTCATCCTCAACATTTTATTCTCAAAATGCAAAATGAAAAAATCTTCCTCCTCTCTTTTTTTTCTCCACTCATTCTTGGCCCTAGTACTCTTCCATATATATAAGAGTAATAAAGGATTGCACCTCTTTTAAAAATAAAACATTTTATTTTAATTGGCACAAAGCACCACCAAAATTTCTGTGCAAAAACAGTGGATGAGCATCTGCCATTAATACCTTACAGAAATCCACTTGTTGACAGATCAAGTATTGCCGTGTAAAGCCAGAAACCAGGATGGAGCAAATATGTAAAAGCTTATTTTGATCAAGTCCTGCTCACGCAAAATGCTCAAACTTAGATTAAACTGAGAACGATGGTGGAGATGCTGATGTGTATTTGGATGTTGCTCGGGTGGGTTCTCTCTGAGGCAATCTCAACCCATCAAGTCTGGGGTTTGTAAGGTGGCTCGTCTCTCTGATACCCATGTCAACAGCTGGTTGGTAGCATTAGCCTGCTAACAATCCAAAATCAGCATTGAGGGAAAAAGGCAAAATTGGCATTTTACAGGAGCTGAGGGAAATCTATGGTACTGAGTTGATGACAACTGTTGCTTGTGTGATTTGTTGCTTTGGTAAACAGCTGCTGCAAACATGTCAATTGTTGGTTAATACAACAATATGAAATTTATACTGCAAAGAGAATAAAAACCCTAACGTTTAAAACAAAGACATGCAGATGTTTCTTCTCCTGGACTTCTTACAGCAAAAATCAGTGAATTCAAAAAGTTATTGGTTGATTTACGACACAAATGCTTCCGTGAAGTTTTGGTTTTGCTCAGTGACACACAGTACAGTTCATGCCCGATTCTTTTGTTTATGCATTTCACAGTGTAACGTCAAATGAGGACAACATTACCTGCCCAATGACTGAAATGTACCAGTCCAATTGCATTATTTTCTAATATATAGGTTCATTTCTGTATGACAGACAGAAGCAGGGTACTGCAAATGCCATTCCAAACGGCAAGTCTAGCTCCTTTACAAAAAAAAGAAAGAAAAAAAGAAAATACAAACAGGCGACATAGGAAACATAAGACACATGTGACCCCTCTGTCCGATCTGGATAAATAAAATCTTTCTACAAACTCTGAAGTCACATCCCAGCTGGGATGCGAAATCGAAAGAATCATAAGATCAAACGTGTTTTAAAAAACTAAGGTGGTAAGGATGCACCTCTGAATTTTTCCAAGGGTGTCATTCAGCTCCTCTCATAGCTCGTCCCGTGCTGCACTGTCCAAAGGAGACTGGAGCACATCTGAGTTCTGGGCCTTGGTGCTGATCTCAGCCTGCTCCCGGGTTTTTCCTGAGCGCGCCCTGTCCCAGTCTGTGCGGACCTTGTCGTTGTCCCACACTGTGGAGGTCTCCGTGTCGCTGATGTAGCCTGTGTCGCCCGTGTAGTGCGTCGGATACACTAGGAGAGGCTCTGCGGAAAATGCCTTCAGGTCCCTGGTTTCAAACTGTTCCATATAATCAGACCTGTGGAGGAGACGGTATCGTCAAGAAAAACAAAAACAAGCAAATCTCCTTAATAATAGTACATGTTGTGTGTGAGTACTTGTACATGCTAGGGTGTGAACACTTACACAGGGTGTTTATTGAACATGATAGGGAGAAACTCATCCACTGGCAAAATCCTCTTTAGAGGTTCTGCATTCAAAAGCTTCTCTGCACCTTGTAACGATATCATATAACCTAGTGTCCAATATGAATAGTCTGCTTCCACTAGGTTGTGAATATTAGGCACCGCTTTCTCTTGGTGATCCACTTGCATTCTCTTACGACCGATATAACTGAAAGAAAGAAATGGAAAGAACCAGCGAGAGATGGTAAGAAACTTTCAGGGAATCGAGGTGGAATTTAAGTTGTGACGGAGGTGAAAGCTCACATGAGATCCCAGTCCAGTCCTTCATCCTTCACCTCGCTCATCAAGTTCATTAAGCGACGTTTGAAGAAGATTTCGAAGCGCAGGTCGTCTTCAATCACCAGAGAGGTGTGTAAGCGTCGCTCCACGATCTGAGACCAGGCACAGATTTATCAATAAATCACTCATCTGTCTGTTTAATATATTTTCAAATGCTTGGCTTTTGCAGGGGGTTCACCTCTTTCCAGATTTTATGATGGGAAAGGAAACATCCCAGCTCTCCTTTTGTGAGTGGACGCCCGTGATAAGGGTCACTGTATCCAGGGAGCATGTGGATGCCCATAGCATTAATTTCACTGATATTCATCGCCCTGAAAAAGAGGTAATAATAAATATCACAAACGGTAATAACAAAGAGCAGAAACGAGTTATTGAAAGGCACAGAATAAGTCAAATATTCATAATTTATTCTTTTCAGAATAAACTTACTTTCCATCTACAGCTGCAATGACCTTGCAAGCGATCTCCTGCTCGTACAGTGTCCTCATCATGCGGTCCCGACGGTCAGTTCGCCTCTCTAGGTTTATCATGAACACCTATGCATGGGGAAAATAGTGGAACCAGTCAGTGTAATTACAGACTTCTAACATGAGGGGGGGCACAAGCACAGCAGTGGACAGAGGGCCATTTTTGCAGAATCCATCTTCGCAACACTCTTTACTCACCTCGTCAAATCCCAGTTTGTCAGGCTGTTTTCTAGGAACACGTATGTATTTGGAAGGCATCACTGGGGAATTTCGCACTACATCGTGAGAGGGAAGATGGATGCAGAAATGGTATGAATGATACGTAGAAGACCGATGCTGAAAGTAATCGTTAGATGGAGCAGCAGCAGGTAAGTAGAGATTTAAAGCTGGTGGAGAAAGAACCCTCAGTCTGAATGGAAGCTACTCACCATTCACCTCCAGGACAGAGTGCATGAAGCTGTCGGCTTCATCTCGCAAAGTGTTATGGGATCGAAGGGGCACAGGGAAGTATCCGTAGGTCTCTCTGTTGCAAACAAACATTTGAACATCTGTGGAGAACACGGAGATGTTTTCTCAATCCAAATCTACATTCCAGTCAACAGGTTTAGATTTATGCATTGGAGGGTGTAATACCTGCCATCCGAGCAGAGAAGGCAAACACGATTATATCATCAAAAGCCCAGTTGTATTCTGGGTGTGGTGGGTGAAAGGCCAGCTGTGTGGACGCCTCTTTCCTGAGGTCTATCAGGAAGGTGGAGTGGACCATGGGTACGGCGAAGCAGCCCTTACGCACCTGCTTCCTCATGGGTATGTAGGCAGGCGTGCGCTTATAGTAACCCTGAATGAGCGGAGTTGATTAGCAGTTGAGTTCAGAGAGGGTTCGAGAACATTCAATTCAGCAACCACGCTTTTTGAAAATAGCCGGCATTGCGCCAAAGTACCTGTGAAGTCATGCCACACCAGAAGTTTGAATAGGCTGCACGGGATTCCAGCATTGGAGCGATGATGGTCTTGTTCTCTTTCATGAGCTTCCAGAGCATGTCGGGATTGGTGAGGAGGTTATCGCAGTCCACCAACTACACAAGGAAGAGAAGCTAAGCTGGGAAATATGTCTGAGGAATGGAGTATGTGTGGTATACTCGAAACTGACTCAGACATCAGAGGAAATGTCGAAGGTTAAATGTGGCACTAAATATATCCCCACAGACTTCTGTTTTTAAGGCTTTGTGATGCGTTTCCAAATCTTTGTAGGGTTAAATTATTGTAATTCTGACTATTTTGTTTGAAAATTATACCCCACTGAGTCTCAGCAAAGTGGGCCGGATTGTGCAAAGAACTGCATTTTTAAAATATGATTCATGTCGTGTCAAAACTTTGTGCATCCAGATGAAGCAGACCGGATAAACTTTAACCATAGGAGACATAAAAAACTACAAGTGGGTCAATTTTCAACACTGTTCCCGCTGCTTAAATTACAAATGTTTTGGTGCCTTGTCCTCAACTCAGTACTTATCCTCCTGCTGCTGTTATTGAACAATAAAGTTAGTCTGGGTAGCAGCATTGGCTCGGTTCTTAAAATGGAAACATTTTCAGTGTTACTGGTTACTGCGCCTGTAAAGAGCAGTTTTGTTGGCCTACCATAAAGAAGTCTGCCCACATCTCACGAGCTGACTCCAGCGCCACTTGCCGGAGCTTCATGACGTGTTCATAACGGAGGTCCGTCCATTGTTTTGGACCATCTTCATCAGCGTAACGACTGAAAGTGACATATTAGACTGGTTTAAATGGCTCTGTGGATCTTTTTTTTTTATGCAACATGAAATCTGTCACCTGAAAATGACCAACCTGGGTTTCTCTTTCGGCCTCCATTCCACATTATGGTAAAGATTCTGCACCTTGACAAGCCAGTCACGCAGGATGGCTGTGGTGTTGTCCTCGTTATGATCCGTCGCTACCCTGTCAGAATAAAATCAATGCAAATGACTAGCATGAAGTGAGAGGGACTTAACTTAATCAGCAACCGAGTCTGGGAAAAGTAAAACGGAAATGAATTGTAGCACCGGTGCCAAACTGTATTCAAGCTGGGACAAGAGATGTAAGACGATACCAAGACTCAAATGACAATGGTTCTGTGTTCACTTTATGTAAGCCCATTGTCTGCAGCTGTGGGAACTGACACAAGAGACAATGAGATGGTATCACAGAAGAAAAACACTGCATGGTTGATATGAGTTTATGACTGATTATTACATTTTACAACAGAATCAGGGAAGTACATTTTTGTCAGAAGAATGAGTCATTCCATCTGCTCTCTATTGGGAGAAATTATGCCCCAACATTCACAGTGTTCCCTTTCTATAGCCATGTAGTGTATTTGTAGAGAGAACATCTGCACTACACTCAGCCAAGTTTGTGTTTTGTGTGCCACAGCCACTGTGGATCCTCTTGAAACATTTCACATGCATCCGTGAGAACACAGCAGCTAAACAATTTCTTCCCTCACGTCTTGTAAATCCTCAAACTCTGGATTCTTCCACTCAATATTTGTTAAACCACGTACAACTGGTGCTCTGCAAGTGGTGTTTCGCATTTATTCTACCGTTGCTCCAGTGAAGCTGGATTGCAGAGCTAATTGCAGACCCTAAAGATTTAAATGACAGTCTGGCCAATTTCTGCATCTGAGGCTTTGGTGTGTTTACAAGCAGCTGCAAAAGGCTTCAGCGGGAAGCAAGCAACACTATACAGATGTTTGCATATTTCAGATGTAGCTTAATGTGTTTGCAAAACATGTCAAAACACGACTGCTCCTATACTTCAGACGTATTTACAGAAGAGTAACTTCAACCACCAAACCAAAAAGGATTAATTGAACATTTTCACTCACGTGAAGCCTTTTAACTTTATTGAGTGAAACTTTTTTTGGGGGTTATGTGTAAAACATACCTCTCTGAGTCCTCCAGGCAGTCGGGGAAACTGCTCAGAGCTCTGAGGGTATAAGCATGGGTGGGCTGTTGAAGCATGTTGTTAAGTTATTACGTGCGAAACGCCTCCCTTTCACTCCCCTCGGCTTTTGCCTGACGTTTAAAAAGCCTGAAACACCAATTTCCGCAACAACTGGGGCAATTTGAAGGGTTGAGTTGTGACATATGAATGACAGTTACGGTGTAAACGCGTTGAAAGGCATATGTATTTTAGATGCCATATTACTTAACATGTATAGAGTGTCAATTTAAGGTCAAGCCCTGCCCCCACAGTCAAAGTTAAACAGGCAAATTTGTCCTGTCCTGTGCTTTTTTAAAACACTCCATTATAACGGATGAATGTGAATGTGCACATTATAGTTAATACTAGGTTTGAATATTTAGGTTATAAATGTATTACAAATCCAAGATCCACAAACAAACACGTTTTACCAGATGGAGATCTCTAACATTTCCCTTATGATCTATATGTTAAATTAGGACTGGGCAATGCAGAAATATCAATAATTATCGCAGTACAATTTTCACGACTACTAATATCTTAACAAATGTTCAATAAATATATCGATATATTATTTATACATTGTACAAAACGCAGGAGGAACAATAACACAGTTGAAACAAGTTACAAATAATTTACTAAATTTATCAAGTGTCTCTGAGAGTTTTTTCATTAAAAGAGCAAAAACTAGTCTCTCAACTTTAAGGCAATAATAATAAGAATATTGTGACATGTATTGTAATAAATGCGGACTGATGTGAAATGAATGGATTAGAGATTTTTGACCACATCATGTTAAATCACAGCTCCCCTCGTGGCCACATCAGGCCCGTCCCCTCCCCTCCACGTATACAGATCAATGCATGGCTCCTCTGAGGAGCAGCGGCCAGATGTGCAGACCTCTGTCCGCCTCGCAGCGTCTACACTCGGCTCACTGTGTGCACATTCATCCTCTTTGCTTTGTTTCCCTGTTTGCTGATATTGATGGGACTATTTTTTTAACCCAACTTAACTTGCCTACATTCTTAACAGCGTCATCTTCTGCAAGACCCCCCCCCCCCTTCAACTCGTCCCCCAAACTCAGCAGCTTCAGCCACACTTTCATGCAACATCATTATTTTTTATTTATTTAAAGCACATGCATCAACACATGTGATCACTGACGAGCGACGGAGATGTTTGAGTTTTACTTTCAAGCTGCAGAAAAAGTCAGATTGTCCGAGTGCAGACTCACCACAGAGCCATCCGGTCCTTGGGATAGTTGAGGCGCTCGATGGTGCCGAGGAAGTAGGGCAGAGAGTGCTCCGAGTTCCGGCAGATGAGGGCGAGGAGGACCCGGGGAGCCAGGAGCGGGGACTCGGGGCTCCAGCGCTCCTCCGCAAAATATCCCCGGGCAGGATCGCAGCAGGTCAGGAGCAGGAGGAGCGGCGGGGCGGCGAGGAGCCAGCGCAAGTTTGCACCGGGCATCGCGACAATCAACTAAGGAATATTATGATAAAAGCTAAACCTACAATCCGGTAATGCACAGCGCTGAGAAGGCTCCTCTTCACATTTTGCGGTCATCACAGAAAAAGTGGAAAAAATGTGTGAATCAGCGGCGGAGGGTCGCGATGTGACAACACTGCGAAGTGGAGCTTTAAAGGGGCGGGATGAGGTCTTAAAGGGGATGGTTCAATGAACATGGGTGCACAGGAAAGAAAAGACAAAAGGGAAATGTGTAACACTTTATTTTTGAGTTGTGACTGCGAATGAAAACACAAGTTGTAGCTGCTTCTAAGATGCAGCAACGTTTTAAATGAGATTTGGATATTTTTGTAATGTGTGAATGTAACTCTGAGCTGGTGAGAAGAACAAACTGTCTCTTCACAGTTTCTCAATAAAGTCCCTTTGTCAGGTTAAAGGACTTTGTTTCGAAAGGAAATGAGTGCAGCTTTTGCCACTGCATTCTACAGTATGTGCCCTTTCTCTATGAGGACGAGGGACAAACTCTGCAATTCAGCATGTGAAATGGGGGAGACTGGGATCGAACAGTTGATCCTCCAGGTTAGAAATAGACCACTCTACCCCTAAGCCCCCAAAAGGAATATCCAGTTTCTTCAAATTCACAGTGACAAAAATGCCCCCACCCCCGATATGACCTACGAAATGGAGAAACACTCTGCTTACTTACATATAGGGTTGCAAAGGAGCGGAACATTTCCGGTAAATTTCCGGAAACTTTCCATGGGAAGTTAAGGAGGGGAATTTTGGAAATATTCCAAATTGGAAACTTTCCTTGAGAATTATGGGAATTTATGGGAATTAACTGTAAATTGGGGGTAATTTAAACAAACTGGATCATATCCAAATATAAATGTAAATATTTTGGTTTTGTCATAAGCAGACATCCATGCAAAATAATACAATTAAAAAACATGACATTTCAACAGATTTATTTGAGTAGGACTTTAGTTTTATTTCTTGTATGAACAATTCTTTAATGAAAAACAAAAAACATGAATGTTGAGTAGCCTCTTAAATGGTCAATGAAATGAAAAGTAGCTTACATTTAGCACCTATTTTTATTTAATATTTCCAAGTTAAACATCAATACTATTATAGATCAAATATATTTACCCCATAATATTATCAAAACTTACTTGACTTCAGATAGTCCTCAGGCTCAAATGTGTGGCTTCAATAGTCTTGAAATCAGATGTGCATGTGATGGAGGAATGCACAGTGCATGTAGGGGGTGTGGCCTCAATAGCCCTGCAGTAAGCAGTGTGCTGTGTGCATGTGATTGAGGAGTGTACGTGAAGTAAATATGGTTGTTTTAGCTAAGATTATGCTACAGTATATTTTACCCAACTATATTTAAGTTCCCTGTTGAGGGCCAACCTCCAATTTTGTAAATTTCAGATTTATTCCCGTTAATTCCAAGAGAAAGTTTCCAACTTTGAAAATTCCCGGAATTTTGCAACCCTACTTACATATGATGTGATTTTCCACAAATAAAAAGCACATCACATTTGTTATTTGAAATTTCAAAAGTTGGTTTACTGGATGTGAAGTTCACTCTCAGTTTACGCGCACTGCCGGCCTCCACTTCTCGGACAGCTAAACTATACGTCTAGTTACAATACGTTCAATTAACAAAACACATTGTGGAGGACTTTAAACCCTATCTCTCCCACACCTCGAGTAACTTTGTTCATCTCCTTATCCTATGTCACCACCTCGACTGTGTAAACCAGTTTAGCGTTCATGTGAAAGTAGGAATGTTCTGCAGTTTTCCAGCCTCTTCATTGAAGGTTTTCACATCAGTGTCAAAAAGTCTCTACAATTTGGCCCCTGAGCTCAGCCGCTCTACCTGGATTGTCAGGGAGGCAGCTGCAGGGTCATCAACAAGCCAGAACAGCTCGCCGTTGGTTGGGACAACACGGGCTGCTGGAAACGCTGGACTCTCTCTACCCTCCAGCACTTCCTGTAAGAAGAGGGTCACTGCGTTACAATACAGGGTCATAAAAGTGGGGATCCATACATACTTTTACAGTTTTAGTAGGCATTGGTTGAACAGAAAGATATATTTGTGATTCTTTTTTTCCTTCTTTCTTCTGGTCCCATTCAATCTGTCAAATTGTAACTAGTGTTTCCTGTAATAGAACCTGCAGAAACTAGTTCAGCTACTTTTTCTTGCATTGTTGTGTTTTATCTCCATCTCATATTAAATCTGCTTGGACCTGATCCAAGGAGATTTATCTCGTCATGGATATAGCAGGTTTAAGTTTCAGAATTTAAGTGTGCGTTCAATAAAAGTCGCTAAATGTTACCTTCAAAATTGGTGCTTTGCTTCCTCCTGTTGATACGAAAGCCACACAGCGGGCAGCGTTCACCACTGGAAAAGTCATAGTTACGCGCTGTGGTGGTGGTTTGGGAGAGTCGCTGATGGGGGCCACAATCTTCTTGGTTTCCTGAGTATGAAGTACACCCACACCCAGTCATCCATCATGTGTAATGTGAGTAGTTGTCAGAAAGTGCCATTGTGAGAACCAAGACTTTACTATTACTGTCAAATATATGATGAGCCTGTTTGCCTCACAGACATGTAACCAGGCAGGAACACAAGGCTCAAGTTGAGCGTAAATCAAAACCTATCACTGAACAGACAGCATGAATCTACAGGAATATCACTTGTCTGTATGTGAAGCAGATTCACTGGAGTGCAGTCCCCACCTCCAAGAGAGGGTGGTCTGGGAACAGAGAACAGGTGTGTCCGTCAGGGCCCATACCCAGCAGCAACAAGTCAAACACGGGGAAGTCGTCATCTGGGAAGGCCTGTGTGTTTGAACGTAACAAAAAATACAGTTAAAAATATCAAAGTCTGAAAGAACATCCCTGTGAGAATATGGAGGGAAAAGGTTCAAGGTTCAAAGGTGCAAAGGTTTCATTGTCACCCTCATGTATATTTTAATGCATAACAATAACCCCAACCCCCCTGCAACAGATGGTATGGCCCAACAGAGCCCTGACCTGGGGGATCTCAGATCTCTGTATCTTCAATCTGAGCAGGATGAAACAGGATTCTGCTTTGCTGGCATCACTGACTTTGTCCCACTGTCCTGTAAAGCCTCTAACAACCCTTACATATTGCTCTGTATGAAAGAGAAGTGCGTACCTCCTTCAGTTTGCAGGTATAATCCTCAGCACACTGACTGACAGGCAGAGAGGGATCGATGGTTAAGATCCCGCTGTCAGGGATGTTCACCTTGGAAAATAATTTACTCTGGAAAAGAAGCAGAGGAGTAATATTTTGCTCTGATGTGATAGAACAACATAAATCAATGGAACCACGTTGAACACAAACACACTCCTGAACAGATACCTTGTACAGCCCGTAGGTGCTCTCGGGATCATCGAAAGGAACCAGTCGCTCGTCACAGAAACCAACCAGCCACTTGCTGCAGTCCAGCTCTGGCAGGGCGAGCAGCTCTTTGCTGAGCATGGACACGAGGCTTCCTCCAGAGAGGCCCAGGGTGAACCTGCCACGAGAGGCGATGGCCTTCTCAGCCCGGGACGTCACCAGGCCGGCCAGAGCTGGACCGAGTTCCGCTGAGGAGGGGAACACCACAATTCTTCTGCCAGCCATGACAACGGAATGAACGGAAATGTCTGAGGAGAAGAAAGACTGGGGGAAGAAATGAGTTTGAGCAACATGTATAAGGAAGTTTCACCAAAATGTTATGCAAGTCTTCATGTTGCATCTGTCCTCTGACACATTACATAAACTACTTGTGTGTTGGTATTTTAAAGCCTTAAGTTATTTATACTACAGGTGACTCTATTGTAACTGAGGCTGTGAAAACAACAGACTGGGGATTAAGCTACGAGCTACAGGATGTTGCTTTGACCATTTGTTAGGAAATATCAGGAGGAAGAGCTAATCTACTAACACCAACAATAAACCTGACATTTGACCAGAAACTTATCAGGTTACAATAAAAAGAATAAGTTGCATTACCTTGTCGGAGTGCCGACTGTCATGGGGGGGATTTTCAGTCGGCTAATGTAATTTGACGCACCACTTCCTCGAACGAGTTTTCACCAGCCAATCACGTTCTGTGTTTAGACCGCACTGCATTCTGGTCAGTCGAGGATCTCCCACACAGACTATCCACTAATAATAAGTAAAAAAATTTAATTTACAAAACATCTCTGTATATTTAGACCAGTTTTACACAACACAGACTAATGTTTAAATCATCACTTAATCAACTATGTTTACAGATACGAGTACAAGTACACAGCAAGGTTACAAAAATAAAAGAATACAAAGAATATAAAGCTAATAATAATAATGATGATACAAAGAAATAAAGTAATTCCAATATCAATTTGGAGTTCAGTCGAAAGATACATTCAACATACATTCATATAAAAGTGTGTATAATATAATATAATATAATATAAATGTTGCACAATACTTCCTGGAACGAATATCACCAACCAATCACGGTCTTGGTTTAGACCGCACTGCCTTCTGGTTAGTGGAGTCCAAAATAGCTTATCCCATTTCGCCTCTATTCACAATTTAATAGTAAAATAAAGATAATTTAGAAAAAGTCTTGGTATATATAGAGATATGTTACAAAGCACAGATGATTATATTAGTAAATATATAAATAAAGAAAAACGTTTAAAAAGAATTTCGTAAATTGTTGCTATAATTCCTCCCATCCGACAGGTGGCAGCAGTGCGGCAGTCAATCCGCCGACCACTTGAGTTTTGTTGACACACTCGCGCATACCTCGCAGGCATGCGCACGCAGCTCCGGTCGCGCGTGACATTATAAATACATATAAACAGTGAACACCGACAAACAGCTCGTCCGTGCGCGTCCCGTGCGCCGCAGAGACCCCGAGAAACACCATGTCGACCGCCTTCTCCTTCCAGACACAGCTCGTCTCCATCATGGACGCGTTATCCAAAACTGCTGTCATGGAAATCAGCAAACTGGTGGAGATCGAGTCGAAGATGCTGAAAATCGAGATAACCCGAGGGCGCAACGAGATCTCCTCCCTCACCGAGAAACTGCAGCTGATGGAGAAACTGCTTTATATCGCACAGGGGGGCAGACATGAGGCGGCGGTAGCGTGCACAGTGGTGGGGGATGCCCCAGCAAACAGAGCGCTGGAGCCGGACAGGACAAGACCTGCCATCAAGAGGTAGGCTTGTATGTGGTGGTTTGCCATAATGACCTTTGCTGCCATCCTGCCTGGTGTATTAATCAAAGGTGTATTTCCTCCTAGTGAGTTCCCATGGGAAAGCATAAGTTCCTCCACTGAGATCAGCAGTTTGCACCACGTTGAGGAGGAGCAGGCTGCAGCTGAAGTAACTCTGCTCTCATAAAGAGTAATGTCATATTATATATTGTCCTTCATTTATAACAGGTGCAATTCGCACGATGTTTTTCTCAATAGCTTCCACAGAAAGAGCAGCCTGATCTTATCGTGGTGAAGGAGGAGCCGTCAGAGGTGGACACCAGGGACACTCAGAAAGACAGGACAAGTGAAGACAGTGAGTTTTAAATGTACAAGTTCTGGTGCATGACAACATATTTACATATCATACAGTGGTCTTTGAGAGGCCTTAAGGGGATTTTGGATAAAGACATTTTAAAGTACCTTCACACTTCTTACAAAATATGTTTTAGGGCTGGGGGATATGGCCCAAGATAAAAAAAAAACCATTCCTATCAGTCAATACTGATAATTATCATGATTTAATGTCACATTCTTATTTCTCTCAGTTCAAATACTGATTTTTGCTCCTGAGTGACGTTTGTGGTTTTAAACTGAGAATGATTAACACTTGAGAAACAACAAAACATTTCACAAACCTGAGTTAGATCAGTTATGTGGTACATCTTCTCACTGTGCTGACACAATACACAATCATCATATCAATATACATTAAACTTGTATTATATTGCTATTGATAAAATTATATTGTGGTAATTACAGATGTTTTATTGCCCAGCACTATTAGAAACAATGTTTTAAAGGGTATGATGAAAAATAACTGTATTTTGATACCAGTTGGTCGTATTACTCATTTCAACATACTTGTGTGATGTCAACAGGAAGGGAAGCAGTCACAGACGCTCAGAGGAGCTCAGATGTGATGCAGCGCAACAAACCGATCGCAGAGCGTCAGCAGCCCATGTTCCCTGAAAGCTTTGTGACCCTGAACTCCCAGTCATCTCTTGCTGGACCAGGGAGGAGGGAAACACAGTGGAATCAACAGCTCGCCCCTGCAAACACATCCAATCTAGAGGCCGGGAAAAGCATTGCTCAAAACGTTGCCTCCCAAAGCTTAAGCGTGCTCAGAAATATGAAGATTCACACTTTGAGGAACTCGGGTGCAAAGAGGTTCGCCTGTCTGCAGTGCGGCAAGAGCTTCAGGTGCTTTAGTCAGCTTGAAATCCACCAGAGGAGTCACACAGGAGAGAAACCCTTCAGGTGCACGCTGTGTGGAAAGAGATATGCACAGAAAGGACATCTGTACACACACCAGCGCACACACACTGGGGAGAAGCCGTATCGCTGTCCAATTTGCGGAAAGGGCTTCATTCAGAAATGCACTCTTGATATGCATCAGCGTACACACACCGGAGAAAAACCTTTTGTTTGTATCAAATGTGGCAAGGGTTTCACAAAGAACTGTAATCTGAAAAAACACCTTGCGGTACATTTAGATCCTGGTTTAACCATGTATGGCTGTGATTCTGCTGCTTCAACATTCAGTGCGACATTAATTAATGGAACCATTTAAAACGGTCAAATATAACTACCACAGCTGCTGTTTGAAATAAATATTTATAATAAAGATATCTTTGCTCCAGATTGGTGGCAGACATTTGTGAAGCACCTGTTTTCTGCTGCTTTCTTTACATATCTCTATTGAAACCTGATATTGTGCTGCATTACACAAATACACACTCAGACTACAGTATGAAAACACTTCATTCTGAACTGACCCTGACGACCAAAAAAAGATGTAAATTACTCTCATCTGTCAATAATAAATATGTAAAAAGTCCAGGTTGCAATATTCTAAAGGCCAGAAAATTGATTGACAGTATGATTTGCTGTTGTGAAACAATGGAGGAAGGTGCTTCTCTAGTGTCATCTCAAGCTAAACTGGCCTTGTATCTTATACATTTCATAATTACTTGCATAGTACATTTCAATCAGTTCTTTTTTTTAGTGACACTGATGCAGCAATAATTTTAATATTATGAAACTGGCCAATTTGAAAAATGTGCACTTTTAATTAAAGTACTATTACTGTACTTACATGATAATACTTTTAAAAAGTAAAAAAGTGTAAATTGGTCATTATTACTGTTGTATTACTACTTTGTTTGTGTACAAGTTTCTACTTCTCCCAACTCTACATACTTAATTAATACAAATCAAACTAAAATGTCTATATTACCAAATGTCAACAAGAAAACATTAATTAAATGCATTTAACTAAGCTATTTTATGAGGAAAAACCATCATTAAATTTGAATTCTGTTCTGGCTTCTATCTATTTTATCTGTAATGCTTTTCATCTTTCAGCTTATAATTGAATGTTTACTCAGATTTATCTTTAATTTTTTTTACTTCTTTTAATCTTTGACCATCTATATAATCTTATATTGTGCTTTAAATGCTTCTGATCTTTACATAGTTTTTCTGTTGGTGTAGTTTCACATGAATTTCCCTCTAATTGTATGAAACATGTTTTATCAATAAAACTGTCCTGCCTTGCCTCTACCCTGTGCTGCCTTCAGGTGCTCCTCGTAAATATCGCAACGCGACTTACAAATTTTCCCACAATCCCTCGCGGTACAGCTATAACACATTTGCCCAGGATCATCGTCGCTACGTTGGAAATTTGTCCCATTAATAAAAAGCAGTTTTGAAAATATTCCGTCTCTCCGTCGAGATGATGTGCGACACCACGAACCGGAGCTTTCGGACGCAGCTCGCCGTCATCCTGGACAAACTGACCAAGGCGGCTCTGGTGGAGATCAGCAGCCTGGCGGACGAGTGCTCCTCCGTCCTTCACACCGAGATATCGCTGCACAAGACGGAGAACGAGGCGCTGAAGAAGCGGTGCTACTCGCTGGAGGTCCAGCTGAGAGCGGCGAGGGAGGCGCAGACCTTCCCCGCCCATGTCAACAGTGTCAGCCGCCGGCTCCCCGCAGGTCAGGACGGTCACACGGTCGCGGTCACGGTCGGTCCTCAGACTCGGTCCAGCGGTGGAGGTGTCAGCCGACAGCCACAGTTTATATTTGTCAGGCTAGCTAGCAGCTACACCCCGGCGGTGTTATATAGAGTACAGCAGGGTAAAGCTAACGGAGTCTGATAGAACAGCCCTGAGATTAAAGATCCACTCGTGTAATGTTTTTATTGTGTTATGATTTTGTGGAGGATGTTTGTGGAGCTGTTGTGTTACACCAGTGCTCCTCAACATGGGGGGCGGGCCTCCCCGTGAATCACTGCAGGGGGGCGTGGGTGACCACAGGAAAACGATATGAAGTCAGTTTAATAGATGTGATCTGTGAAGGGAAGTAATCCAAAGGTTGCTGATGCTTCTGTGTTTGGATCTAACTCAAGTCGTTTTATAAAATAAGTTCACTGATGACTGTTGTGGTGTGAGGTTGCACCATAGATATGTATAGACGTGTATATACAGATGGAGACCAACCTCCCCCTTCTCCCGCTGCCCACAAATGCAGCTCAAATATCCAGAGTATGAATGATGTCAGCTTGAGCATGTGGAGCCAGAGTGTGGGAACAAGTATTCGGGGGACAGTCAGTCAGACAGTCTGTCTCAGCATGTTGACAACATCAAAATGATTGTCCACACCAACAAAATAACCATGAAATAAAAACTTGAATATAGAATATAATATAGAAGAACAGCTTAAAATGACTTTAGAACTTAATGTGGTGCTGATCTTCATTTCACATTCAGTCTTTATGAAAAAAAGCTTTTCTCTGAAGGTGTAAAAATGTGTATTTCCACTGTGGTTACCATCTATTGGAGATCTCAATTACATATCTGCATCGTCCTCCAGAACATCAGCAACCGGCTCCGGCTATCGATGGAGTTTTTGGGAAGGACTGGTGTATGGACTTTTGGAGAGAAGAGAAACTCCCTTCTCACAGAAAAGAAACAATGGAGCCTGCAGCTATGACAAGCATGGGAGTACCGGTAAGTAAATCATGTAGCAACTAGTTTTCAATTTTTAATGAACTATTTCCTTAGTGAACTGAAATGACCCAGTTACTTTTATTGACAAAGCTGTTTGTCACCTGTCTTATTGGCAGGCAATAGACTTGACGGAGAGAGAGCCTGATACCATCTTTGTCAAGGAGGAGATATACGATGATCATCCCATTGGTCAGCAGATGGCTTTCACAGATAGCAGAAAAAGTAAGTTAATAAAAGAACAGAACAATTTATTGTAATCCATGAAGTTGCTGTTGTTGTGATATCACCACATTTATTCTCCTTTAACAGTTGTTGGGATTTTTGAGGAGGACACCATGCTTAATAGATCTGTCGATGAGCTGGAGCTTCACCCAGGGGATTTAAACAACTTTCACATGACGGCTGACAGTCAAACACAACAACGCACGCAGCCATCAATCATGGACAAGTTAATAGATGACGCAACAATGAGCACTCTGGCCGACAACACCAATCCTTCTTCAGCCACCGCCGAATACTCAGACTACACGAACGATATCCACATGAACACAACGAAAGAACTCATGATTCAGCCGAAACCTTTAAAGCCAACAAAACGGTTCGAGTGCTTATTCTGTGGGAAGCTGTTCAACTATTTAAGCAGTTTAAAAGTCCACATCAGGCGACACTCCGGTGAGAAGCCGTTCAGCTGCTCCGTGTGCGGGAAGCGATTTGCTCAGAAAACGTACCTGAAACTGCACCAGCGCGTGCACTCGGGGGAGAAGCCGTACAGCTGTCCAAACTGTGGCAAAAGCTTTTCCCAGAAAAGCTCTCTGAACATACATCTTCGGACACACACTGGTGAAAAGCCTTATAGCTGTGTGGATTGTGGGAAGTGTTATGCGTACAAGTACGGCTTAAATCACCACCAGTGTTTCACTTGACCTGTCAAACAACCATGTGGAGAACTTATACTTATAAGATGTCTAACTGTGCTCACAGTCGCTCAGCATGTGCCAGGATGTATATAGGGAGATTTGAAATACCCCATTTGAATCACAAAGCCTGTATGGTTAACAGTGCTGCTGTAAATCGTAGCTTGTTTGGTGTTTTTAGTTTTACTGATATGAGAAATTCTGCAGCAGCAAAATAAGGGTATAGATAATATTTATCCATTTTAATGTACCATTTGATTTGGTGGGATTCTTCGGGGTCGGGAGATGGTTGTTGTCAATTTGTATGATCCGCTCATCAAATCGTTTTAAAGTCAATTTCACATTGTGCTTATAATCAGCTTAGATGAAACACATTTTCTGATCTAAACTATGAAAAAAAATATTTCCCATTTTGCCCATGCATGTTGTCTAATGACTGGCGAAATGTGTTACATATACATATATATACCTCAGCGTTATACTGTCCATCAGACCACAAAAGGCCTGTGTTGATGCCAAAATAGCTTTGGACAAGTGCTCAGTTTGCACACATGTAGCATAAACCTTTAAATCTACCTCTTCACAACAAGGTTGGAGTAAAACAAAGTCCTCAGTTTGCTTCATTGCCCATGCCTCAACTCTGCTTTTTATTCACCACATGCCACGCTTCATTTATTGGCATTAAACAGTGGAGAGAGCAGTTAAGCTGATCTCTTTGAATAACATGACTGTTTAAAAGAAATGTTCTGTGTTGGTCACATGTTTTTAAGATTTGTATTCATTGATCAGATCTGAAAGGTGTTACTGTTCTTAAATGTGTTTGTATGGCTGTGTCATTATTGTGGACAGACAATTGTTGTCAATGTTCAGTCTAGCCAAAATCCAAATTGTTTTTTCTCTTAAATGTTAACTAATGAATTATATTTTATTCTGCACTTTCCATTGAAATATCCTCACCAGAGCAGTCATCCCCGAGACAGAGCAATTAACAGATCTTGGGTATGATTCAGGATACGATTCCCTTGGAACACAACACTAAATTAATTCTCTGAACCCAGGAGGGATGTTTTTTTATTTCACTCACACCTGCATGCCCCTTTCCAAGCCCTCCAGACTTCCAGGCAAAGATACTTTAAAAGAAGAGTTCTATCAATAAACATTTTAGTCTCAAAGTGAACATTTGTGACTGTTCTTTATTGTAAAGACAGAAACAACAATTGATATACTGAACTGTGAAAAAGAGTAAATAAAAACACATTGAGTATGAAACAGAACATTTGCTCCACAATACTGTTTTTATAAGCACTACTAAACATGACATTAACTAACCTTACATCAATGTGAACAGTAGTGTATTCTTCTTTTAAATTAATAAAACTACAGTCAGTTACTGACAGATCTCCACCAAGTTCTCAAGATGTCCTCAAGCTACAGGCTTGTCTCCGACGACCTCACGATTTCTGTGTGCCATCATGTGATGGTTGAGGTTCACCTTTTGCGTGAATGTCTTCCCACATTTACCACAGTCGAACGGTTTCTCTCCAGTGTGGATGCGTAGGTGACATTTCAGATTGCCTTTCTGGGTGAACCTCTTCCCACATAAGCTGCAACTGTAGGGTTTCTCTCCTGTGTGGACCACATAGTGAATCCTCAGAGCCGATGGGTTTGCAAAACTCTTCCCGCACAACGGGCAAGACTTACTGACCGTCTTAGAAGGAAGTGGAGGCACGCAGGTGTGCGACTTGAACTTGCTCTTGTGAGGGAAATGCTGTTTACAAATGCTACAGAAGTTGGATTTGTGGGATTTCATGTGGCACGTCAGAGTGCCCTTGTGGTAAAATGTCCTGCTACATATTTGGCATGTGAATTTTTGTTTATGTGGAGCTCTGACAGTTGCTACATTGAGCACAGCAAAGTTTTCTTGTGAATCTTTTTCCAGAGGAGTGCTGTTTTCATTGTTGTCAGTTGGTAATATCTGCAGCTTGTTGTTGCTGTGCCCACCTGCAGCAGCGTTCACAGTAGGCTCTTGCTGACTTTCTTGAACAAACTGGACATCGTCATCGTCGTCGTCATCATCATCATCATCTTCGATTGGAATGATAAAAGTGCTGTAGGCCTCCTGTGTGTCGTTGATGGAAATCAGCTGCATGGATGGATCTTCAATAGCAGCTGCAGACTCGATCTGTTCTCCTTCCTTATAAAATGACAGCGTGCAAGTGCTGTCATCAGCCGAGCAACCCAATGACAGCTGCTCTGGTTCCACAGCTGTGCTTTCTTCATGTTCTGTTGCATAGAAATACACAAAAACAAACACTGACAAATCATCCCACGGAGTGTGCGCTCCTTAGTGCCAACACTGTACAGTCTTACCCTCTGTACTGAGCGTTTCCTGCTGGCAGCTGCTGACAGCGCCCTCCACAGAATCCTCACTTTTGACTTCAGTCACAGTAATATGGCCAGATATCGTTGCCACAGACTGTCAATATAGAAAAAGTCCAGCTGTTGAACTGTAGTTTAAAACAGATTAGTCAGGTAAGGTCAATAATGAAAGGTTCAGTGTGTGGAATTTAGAGACATCTAGTGGTGAAGTTGCATGTTGAGCTGAACAGCCCGCACCTCACCCTCCCCTTCCAAACATGAAGTCAGTTGTCATAAAAACTCAAAAGATGTTCAGTTTGTCCAGTCTGGGCAACTGTAACAAACATGGCGGCCTCCGTAGAGAGGACCCCCCTCCTGATGTAAGTATGAAGTATTTTAATACAAAGGACCCATTCTAGGGTAAAGAGAAAAACAATTCGTACGGTTTAGATGAAACACTAGTGGAAACATCACTAGGATTAGTTTACATCCAGTTTACCTAAATCGTACACACTGAACCTTTATGAGGATAAAAAAACTATTTAAACCTCCTCTGGCCCCAGCTTTTAAATTCTGATGATAAGCCCACTTTATATTGTATAACAATCCTCCATTGTTATTAATAAGTGTGCTGCTGTTAGCTGGCAAATGTTACTGGTATAATATAAAATAACAAGCCTCAACCATGCTGGCATCAATACAGTGCTATATGTATTCATGGAGTTCCCATAGGAAAACCTTGGATATTGCTGATGTATTGTAGGTGTAATAGTAGACTATTAAGGCCTGCATACTTTGAACACAGTTGTTTATTACTCATACCTTGACACAAGTCTGCGGTGAGTCTGTGTCTCTGTCCAGATCATACAGGTCTCTGTCTTTCCACAGATTCATGCACCAGTCTTTCCCAAAGATCCCTTCTATGGTGGGAGACCCAGACACTGAAATGTCAAACAGAGAAGACACACTAGTTCACATTGAAGAACAACAGGTGCCAAAAAGCGCTTCGTCCATCAGAAGCTGATCTTAAAGCTCTATTGCCCCGTTTATTCATTTTCTGTGTTTTTTATTCACGTGACACAGCTCTATATTTATTTAGTTTATTGGAACACTACCTTGTTTCCGACCACCAAAACGTGGTTGACTGGCCTCCTTGTCACACTCCATCCTGCTGATTGTTGTTTCTTCTCTTTGCTGTCAAAGCACTTTGTAAACTCTGTTTTTAATAAAGTTTATCATCATCATATACGTCTGCAGCTGTTTGCATCTGGATCCAACTGTCATAACACAGTTAGCCTTATGTCCATGGTAATAGTAGAGATAAGTGTTTGTGAAATGTTTGTGTTTTTTTGTCACTTATTAATCACATTTGCTAGCAATGAAGTATTTGCAGTTTAGAGTATCATCAGTCATTAAACAAATTAGCATGAGTTACATATTGGTTATATACATTTAATCATTATAAAGCAAGCATCCATATGATTCTGCATTATTTCACTCCATCCCCTATAGTTTAAATGTACTTAAAGTGCAATACACCTCTTATAAGTCAGTTTTCTACTAAATATCGACCACTTACTGGCGGAGGATTCACAACCTGAGCTACTGTAGGATGATAGTTACCCTGAGGATCTCCATCTCTGTGGCGGACAGTCTGAACACCCACGGTGCGGGAACTTTTACACGAGTTCATGGCGTCGCTTCTCGCGGTGGTCAGCTCGCATTCCAGCCGATTGACTTTCTCTGCCAGCGTAGAATTGGCGAAAATGAGCCGGGACACCTCGAGCCGCAGCTCCGCAGAGTCCTCGTCCACCAGCTCGCTGATCTGACTCAGGGCAGACTCCATGATGGAGGAGAGCTGTGAGTGAAGAGGAGGGCGGCTCGCCATAGCTGCGACGACCCTCCTCACCAGCCGGAGAAAGACGTGAGATTAAACTGTATATGATAAAAAAGCTGGTTAGCATAAAAAAATGAAAACGCGCAATAGCTCACGAAGCTACCTGGAGCTAGAGGTACGAGAAGAGGGACCTAAATATTTGTAGCAACCGTGACGTGTTTCCGGCGGATGCCACCGGTCAGCTGCGTTGTATTACAAAGCTTCCTGGTTTGGCCATTGAAACAGATGTCACCTTTCCGTTAAATGTTTGCGAAACGTAAACAGCTCCGTCTCGCTTCCTCGCAGGTTTCCGTTTGACCGCAGCCACCATCATGAATCCGGAGAAGGACTTCTCGCCGCTGACGCCCAACATCGTGCGGGCTCTGAATGACAAACTGTACGAGAAGAGGAAAGTCGCTGCTTTGGAGATCGAGAAGCTGGTGCGAGAGTTCGTTGCTCAGAACAACTCCACGCAGATCCGACATGTCATCCAGATCCTGGCGTCGGAGTTTGCCCTCTCCCAGCACCCCCACAGCCGCAAAGGGGGTCTGATCGGACTGGCAGCCTGCTCCATCGCCCTCGGTAAGGACTCGGGTCTGTATCTGAAGGAGCTCATCGAGCCCGTGCTCACGTGCTTCAATGACTCAGACAGCCGCCTGCGCTACTATGCATGCGAGGCCCTCTACAACATAGTCAAAGTGGCCAGGGGAGCCGTGCTGCCCCACTTCAACCTGCTCTTCGATGGCCTCAGCAAGCTCGCCGCAGATCCAGATCCAAATGTGAAAAGCGGATCCGAGCTCCTGGACAGACTGCTGAAGGACATAGTGACAGAGAGCAACAAGTTTGACTTAGTGGCGTTTGTCCCGCTGCTGAGGGAGAGGATCTACTCCAATAACCAGTATGCCAGGCAGTTCATCATCTCCTGGATCCATGTCCTGGAGTCCGTGCCAGATATCAACCTGTTGGACTACCTCCCCGAAATCCTGGACGGGCTCTTCCAGATCCTGGGAGACAACAGCAAGGAGATCCGCAGGACGTGTGAGGTGGTGCTGGGAGAGTTTCTGAAGGAGATCAAAAAGACTCCATCCAGCGTGAAATTTGCAGAGATGGCCAACATCTTGGTCATCCACTGCCAGGTCGCGGATGAGACCAAACTCACAAACGACCTGATCCAGCTGACAGCTATGACCTGGATGAGAGAGTTTATCCAGCTCGCAGGCAGAGTGGTGCTCCCCTACACCTCTGGCATCCTAACTGCAGTGTTGCCGTGCCTCTCCTACGACGACAGAAAGAAGAACACAAAAGAAGCTGCCAGCGCCTGTAACCACAGTCTGATGAAGCTGGTGACTGCTGAAGATGATGAGGATGAGGAGGAGGAGAAAAGTGGAAGCACGGAGTCGCCGGCCAGGGAAGACGGACATCCAAAGAAGGAGACAGACAGCAATGATATGCTGAATGCATCACAAGAATCTGTTGGTTTCAGTAATATCAGCTTCTTTACTCCAGCGAGTGCTGACAGGCCTCAGGTAACACTGGACCTGGATGGAATTGTTCAGGTATTGGACCGTCACCTCCGCGACTCCTCCACTGGCATGATGACCCGTATAGCCGTGCTCAAATGGCTCTACCACCTCTACATCAAGACGCCACGCAAAATGTTCCGTCACACAGACAGCTTGTTTCCCATGCTGCTGAAAACACTGTCTGATGAGTCTGATGAGGTGATCCTGAAAGATCTGGAGGTGTTAGCTGAGATTGCATCATCTCCTGCCGGCCAAACGGACCAAGCGGGCACCTGTGACGGCACCGACAGCAAACTGGTGCTCAAGGTCCCAGACGGTGCCAAGCCTGGACAGCAGCACAGCACGGGCTCCAAAGCAGCGGACTCCTCCCCCTCCACTCCAAGTATGAACTCCTACTTCTACAAGTTCATGATCAACCTGCTGAAACGCTTAAGTCAAGAGAGGAAGCTTCTGGAGAACAGAGGAGCTTTCATCATCCGGCAGCTGTGTTTGCTGCTTCATGCAGAGAACATCTTCCACTCCATGGCTGACATCTTGTTGAAGGAGGAGGACCTCAAATTTGCCTCCACTATGGTTCAGACGCTCAACACCATCCTGCTCACCTCTGCCGAGCTCTTCCAGTTACGCAACCAGCTGAAAGACCTGCGCACTCCGGAGAGCTGTGCTCTGTTTTGCTGCCTCTATCGTTCCTGGTGCCACAACCCTGTGGCCACTGTGTCGCTCTGTTTTCTCACACAGAACTACAAACACGCCTACGATCTCATCCAGAAGTTTGGAGATCTAGAAGTGACGGTAGACTTCCTGATGGAGGTGGACAAACTTGTACAGCTCATAGAAAGCCCCATTTTCACATACCTGCGCCTGCAGCTGCTGGATGTGGAGAACAACCCTTATCTGATCAAGGCGCTGTATGGTCTGCTGATGCTGCTGCCACAGAGCCAGGCCTTCCAGCTGCTCTCCCACCGCTTGCGCTGCGTCCCTAACCCAGAGCTCATGAGGACTGTGGACGAGTCCAGGTACATGGACTCTAAACAGCAAATGGCCTCCAAACGTGCCTCGCACACTCAGATGGATTACAACGAGCTGCTCCAGCATTTCGACCGCGTCCAGAGCAAACATCTGGAGGTGCGACACCAGCGCTCTGGACGTGCCTCTGACCACCCTGACAGGAAGCTGATGTGAAGTCATTGTGCCATAGCGACCTCAGGTCATTAGTCAACAGTAATAAAGGGGTGAAGGAAATTATGTCTTTCGGTACAACTATACATATATATAGTTGTACTCAAAGATGCTAATGAAGCCAAAAAGTATTAAGTGAGTACAATTTAAAAACACTGGATATAGAATACATTTTCACTAAACATGTCTTATGTTTGTACATTTCTTTGCTAATAATGAGGGAAAGATTATGTAACAAGTAAAATACACTTAAAACAGGAAACAGATTTAATACTCATCAGATTGTACTGTGAAGATTCAAAGAATGTACCTAAACCCCCACATCATCACAAGTGGTGGTGATGATGTGGCCGTGTCCCGAGTTATAATCACGCTCTGTCAGCTGCCGAGGCTTTATTTCCAGCACAGATGAAATGTTCACAGTATTTCAAGTGAAACTGACATGCATGCCAGTGTTAAATATTACACTTGTGTCATTTACCCTCCACGTGAACCACAGTATTTTCACGGTGTTTCCGTCTGAGCAGTACAAATAGAGCATGAACTCTTTGTTGCCTTAATCTCATGACAGCCAGGAAAGAAATCTGCTCCCAGCTCAACTGAGGTGAACTCTGCAAGCTGTGGGTGGCTGATTGCTGGTATAAAAACTGGATAGACCCAAATTGTTCCACCTCTTGCCATTTCTTCCTTATTGCAGTTGATCAAAAACTTGACTCAACACACTTCCTTAGCTTTTATTTCACATTCGTACTTACATACTCCTCAGCCGATTTATATCTCTCTTTGTTTGTGCAGTGTCTCTTTGTCTTGTATTCCTTTAAAAAAAATAGTCTTGTGTGAAATTATTAAAGTGGAGCACATGTTTTAAATCATACTTCATTTTTCATGTTTATGTATTACACACAACCTGTGTATTTAGAAAAGATGGTTGAGGGAGGAAAAGATGAAAGCAACGTCCTCTTCTTCGGTCAGAACCTGAAGCCTTTTGAAAATGTTTTAATCAATATTTTGCACATATTTAGATTTTATTATTAAATGTTGCTTACTGTACATCAAGCTTGAAATGTAGTAAGTCTTACTTTGCGCTACTTTGCATTGTGATCATTTTTTGTGTATGTTCCTGCTGTGGTTAAATGTTATACAGACTAGACTTTACTGAAGCGAATGAATGGCAGCAGACTTTTTTTTTTTTCAGACAAAGTTTGCTTGTACTTTTTTAATTGTAATAAATATAATCTTTCACCTGTTTAAATGGCTCCTAGACCTTAAAAGCAAATCACTGCAGTAAATGTAAAACTGTATCTATGCCTATTATAAAAAAATATATATAAATGAAATGCAACAGTGTTTTTGAATCATTGTTTTTACAAAGTTGAAAAATTAATGAAATTGAAGGTAAAGATTTGAATACTGAATTTAATATGCAAACACGTGAAGTCAGAAAAATAATTTAAAATACACATTAAATTACTCAATGTGAATTAATATCGTAGAGCTTATTGCTGCATATAAGAAGGTCTGAAAATGAGCTGAGCTGTGCTGAAACTAGAGGAGCTGGGACTCTCTCGTCGTCACTCATCTGCTGCTGGCCCATTTGTTGCTGAACACCCATGGTACATACTGTACATGGTTAACATAGGTCTTACTCCCTGGTCGAGACCGTATTAGTCAAGAGGTCCTGTGCCGTATTTTCTAAACTACTTTTGTACTTCAAAGTTCTTTGTAACTCTTGTTTGGAGAACTTCTGGAAACAACATGGTGCTGAAGATTGTCCTGGGAGTCTTGGGTTTCCACAGAAATGATGCACATGGAAAAACACAGTTTCTGCCCTGTGCTGCTGATCTGGAGTCTTTCCCAGATCATCACAACACGTTTCCCAAACATTCAAGGATTGTAAGGTAAGTAGAATGAAAATACCTTCAAGCATAATTGTTTATTTCTTTCTTATTTTCAAAGTGTGGAGCATATATCCTGATAATGAAGTGTTGACAAGTTAATCCACAAAGTCAGAAAACATAGGACCAGCTTAATGTTTGTATGATATAGTTGACAATGGTTATATTCTTATCTGCCATTATTAACAGAATCGGTTGGAAATTGAAACTTCCCCAGGGGATCTGTGACGTATGCACTGTTGACGGTTGCTCATTATCTCTGTTTGCTTCTGTATCTCAATAAGAGGCCTTTCTGCACACACACAGACACACACAGACACACACAGACACACACAGACACTCAGGGAGATGTGTGTAAACGTTAACACACACTGCTGCAAAATCCAGCTGTATTTCGACAGTTTATTTCATCTCAACCCATTGGAATCGATTTCAGTCTCAAAATTCAATTATACTTTACACCAACTTTAACCATAATGAATTTTTAAGGGAAATTGATATTTGAAAAACCTTTAAATCAAATGAATTCCTATTAAAAAAAACTGTCTGATACCGATATATTTGATGATTTGTACATATCAAAAATAAAAAAATTGACAATGATTAGTAAGATTTTAAGACACGAGATTGAGGCTTTCAAAATGTGACCATACATTCTAAGAGAAAATCCAACTACAACTAAATTTATAGAACTTGAAGTGAGAAATGATCATTCTTGAATAAAATGTTAACAGAAATGCTCATATCTTTTCTGAATTGTCTACTCTGTAAAAATAAACGTTTTCACATCTGTGCATATTTGCAAACATAAATGCTAAATAATGATGATTGTATTTTTTGTTACATTGCCATATTATACGTGATATTGTGTTTCAGAGGGACTGTTTAACATTCCAGACAAAGCCTCAATGAGCTAATGTTTTTGACCTATACAACATACAGTAATAACTTTCCTGTCTGTGTAATTTAAAGTCTGAATCCTAACATAGCATGTGTGAGACATAACATACAGTGTATTATACACCAGAGTTAAAGCAGCACAGGTCCACACAGTGTTTCCTTGTGCTAGGATCATATTCTGCAGGTTCTTATTTCTCTCTACGCTCTTGGTCTATTTTTAAAGCAGCATTGATTCTGGTCATCTGACTCCCACAACAACGTCTGGACAAACAAGGTCAGCTAACTGTTAAATGCTTTTGAAATTACCAAATTAATCTTCACAATGCTTTGAAATACCCTCTGTTTGCTTTTAAAGAAAAAGTCAGTGGTGAGCTGGTTGAGTAACGTGAGCTGTGTTCAGAGTTTGGGGGGTTTGCGTGTCATATTTTAAAAATAACCATGCGTCAGTTCTTAAAAAGCTGTTGCTTAAAGCTAAACTTATCTGTGAAAATAAATGTTCTGGTGGTCAGCAGGAGGATATTTCTCTACTCACATAACTTCAGTCCAAATCTGTCTATATATACAGTATGTCCACCCCGACTCTTATTTGAGAGGCTGTTTCTTCATTACACTGTGACAGGCTGTTTCAACAGTCTTCTCAAATAACTTGGAGGTGTTTCTGGCATAATTCAAATCTAAAGTCCCTCGTGAGTGCAAATCTTCCACTGTCACTTTACTCTCCTCTGTCATGCTCAGGTTATCCAAGCGTGACGCCAGTTTGTTTTATTCTGAGGTGTAGTGTTAATTTGAGAATGAGCAATGTGCATACTCAACAAAGCATCATAACATGAGATATGACTTGAGGAGCTAAAGCATTAACACTTATTTCTGAGGGTAAAATGAGGTAGCTGTGCAGAGCCATGGGAGGGGCCTGGGATCCATGCCTTGCCATTAAAACACTATGAGTGAGAATGGCCAGCAGACGTGCTCATCCTGAGGATGACCTTTCCTGTCCGATCTGTGGACATATTCTCAGCCAGCCAGTGGTGCTCAATTGCAGGCACCGATTCTGTAAAGCTTGTCTGAAAGACAGCTGGGACACACAAGGCGGCGGGGATTCAAACTACTGTCCTCTGTGCTGGCGCTGTTCCTCCATGGAACAAATAGTGGTGAGCTCTGTGCTGGAGAAGGCCTGTGAGTCATTCAAGGACGACAGGAGCAAGAACGACCCAGAGGCTTGTAAAGAACATGGGGAGAAGCTCACGATGTTCTGTTTGGAGGATTTGGAGCCGATCTGTGGGGTGTGTGTGAAGGCAGCTGCACACACCGGACACAAGCTTTACCCCATTGGGGAAGGTGCTCATGACTGTAAGGTAAGCATGTGAAAGTCACATGGGTGGTCTCCTCAATATTTCACATCGGCAGTAGATTGTTAAACAACATCAGCTACTTTGGAAACCTGGCCATACCTAAAACATTCTTGCTGGAATTAATGTTAATGACATTTTTTTTTTACATACGTCACTTTGCCAAATTTAAAGACTTGTATCTAAGGTTGACAATAGTGTGAGTGACCCTTAAAATTGAAATGAGAACACAGTTGATCAGCTTCACAGTTTTTTTTTACTTTTTCTGCAAATTCACAAATAAAATCTTAGTATCTATCCATTACTACATAATTAGAAGTGACTATTATAATCTTTCCAAAATGTAGAAAACGTATTGTTTTCTGTGTATTTAAATTGATTAATTACTACCTTTATCGTTCTCTAAGCCTGAAACATGCGTCAAAGTGTTTGGCAGAGTTCATTAACTTTCTAATTTTAGGTTTATATTTTTGGTTTGTCGTTGCCGTCGGTATCCCGAGAGGACTGAAACTCGACTCCCACAAGGTTTCTGTGATGCGACATTCCTTCTACTCCTGCCGTCCTCTCAAACCGGGACACCTTGAGTAAATATTGTTGTAATGTGTCCATACCTGGACTCCAAGCTGCACAAGCTCGATTTTGTTTATGTTACGAGGGCATTAGATCATTCAGCGCAGCTTTGTTTCTTTTATTTGATGCTGCTCTATTGTTCAGCTTCGCATTTACACGGAATGCTGTCGTGGAAGAGTATGTGGCAGCTGAAAGCCCCACATTGAGCTGACAGCCTGGCCACCTGCCACACCGACCTTGTTTTTAAGTGTCAATGCCGTGTCACTGACTTTGTAGGAGGAACTGAAGAGTGCTCTGCTGCCTTTGAAAGACAAGTTGCAGCTGTACAAGAAGGTGAAAGTGGTCTGTGAGGAGATGGCAGAACACATTAAGGTACTTTGAGTCCCATCAGCACCAAATGTTACAAAGAGCACCACAAAGAGCCCCAGTGTGGAGGTGGTGATTACCCATCAATCATGTCTCTTTGCAGAACCAGGCTGAACACACTGAAACGCAGATCAGAGAAGAATTTGAAGCCCTGCACCGTTTCCTGAAAGAGCAGGAGGCTGCAAGACTTTCAGCTTTAAAGGCCGAAGAGGATCAGAAGAAGCTGATGATTAACCAGAGAATCGAGGAGATAAACAATGAATTGACGGCTCTCTCCAACACCATCAGATTAGTGGAAGAGGAGATGAAATGTCACGATATTGCATTTCTTAAGGTATAGTAGGTAAAACAGATGCTTGAGATTGTTGGTGTGACAAATCTTAACCAGCTGTTCACAAGAATTCATGAGGGTTGTCAATTTTGTTTTTAGAATTACAAGGAGACCGTAAGGAAGTAAGTGTTGTTACCACATCTAATATCCAGTTACACTTTTCTTTTAAAATAAATTAATTCAACAACTGACTGCTCACGTTTTTTTTCAGAACCTGGCGGACTTCCTATGACCCACAAGGGATTTCTGGTGGTCTGATTGATGTTGCCAAGCACTTGGGCTCACTGAAATACAAAGTGTGGGAGAAGATGAAGAGAATAGTCAGATACAGTGAGTTCCTCAAACAAGATAGTCATGTGTGCTTAGTCAGCTCTTTCCTTGCCACATAAGTAACTTCTACTTCTATTCCTCTTTCTCCAGATCCTGTGATTCTGGATCCCAACACAGCAGCTAGCTGCTTCATCCTCTCGGAGGATCTCACAGTGGTGCAGAACTCTACCCAGATCTTCAAGCTGCCAGACAACCCAGAACGCTTTGACATCAGTGCTGAGATGCTGGCCACTGAGGGCTATTCCTCCGGACGCCACACCTGGGAGGTGGAGGTGAAGGGCAACACCTACTGGGTGGTGGGAATCGCAAGCGACTCCATCAACAGGAAGGGGAAGCACGTGCTGACACCGGCGGAGGGGTTCTGGACTATTCGCTTTCGCAACGGAGAGCATAAAGCCTGCACGGCGCCATGGGAGCCGCTGAACATGACTAAGAAGCCGGAAGTGATAAAAGTGGTTTTAGACATGGACCGAGGCAAGGTGTCCTTTTACGACCCTGCAGAGAGGGCGCCTCTCTACACCTTCATGGATGTCATCACACCCAGAGCCTTCCCCTACTTCTGCACTGCCTGCAAAGAGCATCCACTGAGAGTCCTACCCACGAGGATATCCTTGTCAACAGACTTTTAATTCACCACTATCGCAAGAGATGATTGCAGGTTCAAGTTACAACACATGAAATCTGTAAATGCACCGCTGTGTTTTTCAAATGAACAAGTGAAACAAAGAAATGTTGAAAATATTTTAATTTGCGTTAAACAAATGTAGTCTGAATGATTTGAACTTGTAAATCTTTACCACTCATATTACTACATTGATAAGATTTAGAACATAACAGAACAGTACAGTATGTGGGACTCGGGTTTGCATGGAACATAATCACGACTGCGATTTTTTCAATTTCTTTTGAAAAACATAAAAACAGGTGTGAACTTTCATATAAGGCACATACAGTATGTGTATTTGAAAACCCAAGCCATTGTTGTTCAGAGGCTCAAATATAACATATGAGATTAGTTTTCCAACGCAAAAAAAAGACTCTATGGTTAGTGTTTGATTTAGTTGCCTAGTGTACAACCTAGTGTACAGCATCAAAGACCAGACTTCAAATTTGGTCTTTGATCAAAACACATGGCTGTAACTCAAAGTATCTTCACTCTCAAGAGTTTTCAAATCCTACACAGAAATACACTTGCAGCATAATCCAAACATGGGTAAAATACCCTGTAACTGAGTTTGACTTGACACTACCCGTGCAGTCCTATCCATGTTATTGTAACATGCTCCTATGTCAAATGGGTTATGGAAGACACCCATTCTATGACCGGTGAGGCTCAAAGGCTTTTTGAGGTGTTCTTTCAATATTTTAAAGTTATTAAAGGAAATAAATGCCCTCACATTGTGCCCTGTCCTCATACAGTGTTAAAACATCCTCTGTAACAGTGGTCTCTCTATGTAAGTAGTTCTTTCAATTGTTCCGTGAACAATTAAAATCCAGGCAGGTCTGATCCCAACGTCAGCTGAAGCCTCTTCTTCTCTATCTCTACATCATCTGTTTCACCAAGGCACCTTCACTGCCCTGCTGTGGCCGCCGTGTCATAGAGACATTCTTCCCTCCGCTATAGCAGTGTATAGCTCCTCATCAATAGCCTCATAACACGCAGCTCTGGTGTTCAAGAAGTAGATCTGGTCAGTTGTGAGACGTGGGTCGTATCCCTCCCTCTGCAGCCTGGTCTTCTGAATTTTAAATGTACCTATACAAGAATGTGCAGATGGATGGATTGTGATTTATTGTTGATGAAATCATCAGTGAAGGTTGATCGTTTTATGGACTCAGGAGGGATATGGGACAGTTTACCTGTGGTGTCTACATTTGGGGAGATTCGCAGGAACACAGGTCGAGCATACGGAGGAAGAGCACGCTGGATTTGCTTCAAGAAAGCATTGCAGTCAAAACTCCCTGTAGCATCGGCAATGGCAGCCATACCAGCCTTACCCTCCACACCTATAATAATAATAAATAAGAAAAGTGGAGATAATGGTTATCAAGTAGTGTGTACAGTCAAAATCAATGTGTAACAACAGGTAATAATATGATGTTACAACACTAATACAACAAAGTTAACAATCACCTGGCACAGCCGCACCATACACTGCCACATCAGTCTGACCCAGAAGACTGCTGAGTATGCCCTCCACCTCAGTGGTGGAGACATTTTCTCCCCGCCAGCGGAATGTGTCTCCACCACGGTCTCGGAAGTACATGTAGCCCATGTCATCCATCACCAGCACGTCACCTAAGGCAGACATATGAGTAAAAACTCTATGTCTAGTCCACAATCATAAACTATTACGACTGCTATTACTCACACTGGCAAAGGAAGCAATCTAACATTGCATCAAGTTTCAAGATTTAGGAGCTATAAATATATTTATCAACAATTTTACGACTGCTTGCATTTAAAAAGAAAATGCATACAGCAAGCTAATGTATGTTGAGTGTTAAAATGCAATATAAGTAGCACATAGCTGCAATATTAAGATACATTTTGAAGAATACAAAGAATTGTCAACCTGATAAATATGCAGAGTCGTTTTTCTTGAACACATTATGAGCTATCTTCTTCTTTGTAGCATCCTGATTCGCGTAACCATCAAATCTTCGTAATGGGTCCTGCTGGTTGATCCGACCCACCAGAAGCCCCGGCTCCCCTGTAAGACAAGGAGGAGTTAAACAGAGTGCTTTCAGAAGACCAACTCAATTAAAGGAGACATATTATACTTTCTCTATAAATAATTGGGTTTATAATTTTAATTTGGGTTATTACTTTATATTGTTTACATGCTTTACTGTTCAGAAAACACATCGCTCATACTGTCCAATGCTGCAGCTCTTCTGTTCAGCCTCTGTCTCACACACTTTTTCTTTTTACTTTGCAGGCCAATTAAATATACATAAACACTATATACACACGACAAGAATGAAAAACTACCAAAGCATAAAATGTCTCCTTAAAAAAATCACACACTACATCCAGCAAAGCCATCGTCGTATTAGTTACCAGGGCGGCAAGGAACACAGAGGCCCCGGCTGTCGCGAATTAGCTCCATGCTGTCCTCGTCTACCCTCACCAGACGGATGGGGTACACATTGGGTAGAATGCGACTGTTGAATCCACAGGCTCCCACCTGGCAGAACAGAAATTAATTTAACTTTGATCCAATGCACATTTGATCAGTGAACACACATGTAAACACTGAGACGGCTGACCTTGCCATCCATGTTGGCAATGCTGCAGTTGCACTCTGTCGCTCCATAGAACTCGCCAATCTGTGCCACCCTGAAACGTTCTGTGAAGGCCTCCCACACACTTGGGCGCAACCCATTCCCCACGGCAAGCCGCACTTTGTGGCCCTTTTCTGACGGCCGCTCTGGCTGAGACAGGAGGTAGCGGCAGATTTCCCCAATATACTGCACAACCTACAAAGGGGAAGCAGACTTGTTATTGTGGCAGACTTATGTTTTATAGTTGTTGATCTCATAAAATATGGCACTCAATATTTTCCAGGCCCACGCTCTTACAGTGCAGTTGTACTTGATGCAATCTTCCCAAAAACGACTGGCAGAGAATTTCTTTTTCACCACCACAGTGAGGCCATGGATCAGACACTGCCCAACTCCCATGATGTTACCTGGCAAGAAGAGAAAGCTCATACGTCAGTGATGGAAACATTAAGAGGGGAAACCGTATTCATTAAGAGCTGGAGGCTGTCGTCACTCACCTGCTGAGTGATAGAGGGGCAGGCAGTCGTAGATTATGTCATCAGGGCGCATGCGGAAGGCAAAATACCCAAAAGCAGCGATTCTGTAGTAGCTGTAACAGGGACACAAAGACACATATCATGACAACTCTGGAGGGTGGTGTTTTTTTGAGTAGTTGTTCAAGAAAACGTACCGACTATGCACCACAATGGCGGCCTTGGGCAATCCTGTGGTTCCAGAAGTGTAGATATAAAACAGACGGTCTGCAGAAGAGAAGGCAACAGAGCATTAAATTTACAAACCGGAGTCTTCATGGCTTTTCATTCACTGAGGGAATTTAACAGAAAAGTCAGAGTAAAATGCCTTTTCATGGCAATACTGACTATTTTAACTGTTAAGTAGAGTATTTTTAAGACTCACACCTTCAATGCTGACTTATACCTTATGTTCGTTAATCTGAGACAGATGTTTCATTTTTATTCAGACGGTACACGTCTTAACCAATCATACTTGATATCCTCCTCTAGACAGCTTTTGCTAAAATGTCATTATCTGTCCTGAATTCAGAATGAGTGATATATCTCAAAGTTCTGCCCAGCCAAGCATTCACGTCCCCAGGTTTGAGTTAAATAATTACTGGGAAGCAATTTCAGATCAGAAACTTGACAACAAAGAAAAACGAATTACTGCACAGCATCTCCCTGGGAATTCAGAATAGAGAGGAAAAAAATGTAAATCAGAGGTTATCAACCAAACACGGTTTGGACTATGTTTGAAGAGCGTTATGTAAAATGAAACTACTCATTAGCATGGAGATTAAGTTTCGAATGCAGTAAGAAGATTAGGTACTCACCGTTCATGCCTTTAGAGGGAACACAAGGTGTAGGAGGATGTCGGGATGCAGAGGCTAAATTTGGGTCCAGAGGTTGAGCACCCAGAGAGGCTGCATGTTCTGCACTGAGGTCTCCTGTAGAAAACCGTACCATAGACTGGGTGATGGAGGAACTGACTTCCAACATGGCTGAAAGAGGGAGAGGAGAGAGCATCAGTTTATGTACTTCTGCAACTGCAATAAGGAAATTCAGTTAGGTCGGTTAGTTTAGTTTACATAAGAACAAACTGTAAACACATATCTAATAATATAGGGGAAATGTGGGTAAACTCATTTCTGAAGCCATACCATTAATCCTGTACAACTGATGAATACAAACGCTACATATTGGAGACCAAAGACTATAAAGACAATAGAAAAGTGTTTGTGTCGTCACAAAGAAAAGTGAAGCAAATGTTAACCGATTTAACGATGGGGCAGAAAGAGTTTTATGAGCATCGTGATCACAGATAGTATGTTCTGACTGAATGATACGTCAGAGATGGAATATTAACAGTGTGACACCACGGAAAGAAATGTTGACCACCTCTCATGATGTCAGACAAAACAGGAAATGTGTTGCTGAGGTTGATCAATGTTTTACTTTGGCCTTTAACAGCAATATTATCACAAGTGGTATGATATTATCCTGTTATGTTATCGTACTGTAATACAACCAATTACAATAAACGCTGTCACTGTTAAAGAATTAAAAAACGAAATACAAATGCCATGATCGGCTTTTCCTGCCCGAACACATTCTTACCATCTGCAAGCTCAGCTCCGAACACAATAGCCTGTGACCCCGAAACCCTGATACAGTGCAGGAGGGAGTCATGGCGCAGGTTGAAGTTGATGAGTGCAGCTTCCACCCCAACCTTGGCCAAGCCCAGCCAAAGTGCCACCTGCAGCGGCCTGCTTTCCATGAAGAGGGCCACCACATCCCCGGAGACCCACCCCTGACCTCTTGCCCAGTGGGCGGCCGCGTTGGAGTGCTCGTCAAGCTGGGTGAAGGTCCAAGTTTCCCCCGTAGCCTCGTAGATCAGTGCCGGTTTGTTTGGGTGAAGTTTTACAGTCTGAGCGAAGATTGAAGGAATATTGGCTCCATTTCGTATGTAACGCCACAGAGACAGCTTCACTCTGAACAGCACATACAGGCCACTGTTGAGGGCCAGAGGGGAGGAAGATAAGTCAAGGGTGGATGTACATCAGACCACAAGCATCAGAAATGTATTCTGTCACATCCGACTTACTTGAGGTCTCTCTTGGCGGTGCATGCTGCAACATAGAAGTATTTCCAGCTTCTGGTGCCGAGGTATACCCCGAGTCCTGCTGCGAGACTCCAGGGCCAGGACACCCCAAAGAGATGCAACAGTCCTATCGACCCCAGAGAGGCTGAGACGCTTGCTGCATTGTGCATTCTTGTCAGGAAGGAAATAGGAAAAGATGGGTTTTAATTTAAGTCTGTGGATTTCACTAAGGAAATTGAATTACTGTAGAGCAGGTTGTGCATACAAGTGTGTTTAAATATGGATGTAAATGCACTGCAAAACAAAATTAATCATGATATTATCATTGATAATGCCTCTGTGATTCCCAACCCTAACATATCATGTATTTATGTGAATATAATAGAATATATAATATAATAATAACAGTTATAAGCAATAGTTCGTCGGATTCATCTGGAAATTCTGAGATGCAGTTTGTTTAAAACCACTTATCTTTTGTTACATCTTCTGTGTGAATTGTGTAAAATAATATATACGTATACGCATATGTTAGTTAAAAACCAGCGCTATTACACATGAGTTAACTCCAGGGGACTAGCATGGCTAACTTACATCACACAACCTCACCTACGAGTGGATGCACTGAGGCGATGTCACCCTTCACCCACTGACCCCGACGCTCCTCCGAACTTCTTCCTCAAGTTTGTTTCCCCCCCCGAGGACACAGACGAGTACTGTGCTCGTCCTCCGCTTACCGGGGGCCACGTGAGGGGCACAGCTCCGACGTGACGGCTTCACACCAACCGGTACTTAAATAAACGTTGGAGCACTTTTACAGTTTGATGCTAATCTGCGCGGTAGTTGTTGCTGAGCGGTAGCACACTTTTGTACAATGGACGCTACGTTTAGAAGTGTAATCTACCGACGCTGGGAGACTCCTACAGCCTGTCTGTGGGCTGGAGGGTGAAGTTAGTGCTCGGGTAGCGGGACTGACCTTGCTGGGAATGAGAGCAGTGAGCTGATGCGAGCATCGGGCTGTTCTCTCTACTCCATGTTGAACAGTCTCCGTCAGAGAAGCACCGCCCATCCCGGCAGTGAGCGTCCTCCGGCAGCTTCGCCATTGGTTCAACTCGACGCTTCTCAAACTTGTCTCATTTTTTGATTGGACAACATCAACTGCTGCCTGGTTGCCAATCTACGCGATTGGCTGGAGGCTGCAAGTGATAGTGGTGCCGGCATGGATTACTAACTACTTTCTACTTTGTTTGTGACAGTTCATGGCTTCTGATCGTGTCTGAGTTTGGTTTAAATGTTATATCTTTAGGCTACACGCCAGGTCAGTGGGTGGCAGTAATGTACGCGAGAGAAGAAGAAGAAGAGGAAGAGGAGGAGGAAGAGAGGGAGGAGGAGGAGGAAGAAGAAGAACAAGTAGAACAAGAAGAACAAGAAGAACAAGAACAAGAAGATCTCAACTGATGTATATTGTGACATTATGTTAAAAGCCATTCCCATTCCAAATCTTACAGTTCTGCACTGTGTGCAACATGGATCACTGGATGTACGATGGTCCTTAAGGGCAAATGACAACGGCAAATGGGGAATAACTGGCAAATCACAAAACACATTTGCCTTTGTGTTTTGTATATTTGCTCTTTTGATTCCCCATTTGTTGTCAATTGCCCTTCAGGGTTGCTCTGTTTGTATAACAGGAGCAACATGGTCATTGCAGACTGAAGGTTTGCCTGCGTTGGTCTGCACAGGAACTATTTCCCGTCTCTAACGGTCTCTGTGTGTAGAAACAGCAAACTCTCAAAAGCACCACTCTCCTCAGCAAGATGTAGACCCAAGGGTCTAAGATCTGATTCCAGGAGGCCATACGTAAACTCAGGAGAGTAAACCCATCTTGATCATTGTCCAAGGTTCTGGGCCTTTGGTTGATCTGCCTCACAAGAATATGGACCTGAAACGTAGGAGAAATAGCGACTCACTCATGATGATAAAGTATAGCCAGCTCTATAAACTACAATATTCTTTGAAAATACCTTTATGTGAAAGGTGGAGATGGTTCCAGAAACAAATTATGCGATCCAAATAAGTATTACTTACAAGAAAGGGGCTCCAGCACACACAGGAAACCACAGTGAGCACCGCCAGTTGCGCCATCATCTCAACGTCCAATGAGCAAAACGAGGCGGAAGTTGATGCGGAAGATGGACGATGTGTGCAGCGAGCTTTTGATTTTGCATTCGTATTGCAGGGCTTAATTCTGGCCTGCAGCAATGCCACACCACTGAGGATGTTGCAGAGTAGAGAAAGAGTGAGCGCTGTGAGGCCCAGACATGAGAATGTCGAAGCCAGATAGGTGTCAGGTTTAGATTGGAATCGTTGGATGGGTAAGAAACACCATGTGCCAGGAGACTGAGGAGTATAAGTCCCTATGGCAAAAAATGGTAGAACTGCCAGTATGAGTGCAAGAAAAGACAGGAATAAAACAACACGTCGTACATGAGTCACTGTAATCACAGCAGCATGGAAAAATGGCTGGGTGATGGCCATGCAGCGCTCCACTGCCATCGCACCACCAAACAGTAAAGGGCATAAGCCAAAAAACACCATACTTGCCCCAAAGACTTGACAGAATGTGGTGGGCCTCGTGGCTTGCATTTTATACTGCTGATTCAAGTGCAAATACAGAGCGAAGGCTCCTGGGATCACATGACCTCCCAGGTCAGCTGCTAGCAAACACACAGTTAACAGCAGGAATGGTGCTTTCGATTGGCGGCGGAATCGGACGCGGGACCTGGCCAAGATGCCCAAAGCAGTGAGGTTGGAGATAGCACCAAATGTCATGGTGAAGCAGGACATCCCTATGCCTGAAGATGTGATTGGTGGCCATGTGCTGCCATTCCGCCAGAGACTTGGCTGCTCTGAGGAGTTGATCTTCATATCCTGGTGGAGAGTTGATGGCATAGATTAGAAGAAGGGGAAAATAAAGTCATGAGTATAGCCGGTGTCGTCATTTACAGAGAATCAGGAACAAATTTAAACTTCTTTACATAGTTCAAAGCCACTCGTGTTTTAATGTCACCCTGTAACACCCGTTATCTAAAATGTGTCAAATGGTGACAACTGAGTCTTGAATGCAAAAGTGTGTACCAGTATGATACATGCTTCACTGGGCAGCTCAAAGACTCATTACAACAAGTGGTCTGCCAATGACACTTGGGACTTAAAGACCTTAATTAAAAAAGCCACACATTTACAAGCAATAATGAATGGAGTGGATTAAAGTTCTGCTGAGCACACATTTTTTGTCCTTGCCTGTCATGCACATTAAAGGGCATAGATGTATTCTCACAAAAGTAAACTTTCAACAATATGAATGTTAATAGAAATTACAGTGTCCAGCAATTTTAATGCAGCGTGTCTCATTTGGGAGGATAGTCGCCTCAGGATTATTAAACTAAGTCATTTTACTGCCTTTTTGAAAAAGAATGGAACTTGTGTCAGTTTTGCAAATTCCATTTGTGTATGCCTGTTTCACAAAATATTCTTTGCTTTTATTTGTTTTGACTTGTAAGAGCTCCTCACTTGTCATGAACCTTAAGGCTCATTTACCGTTTCTTTTATTCTAAGTCCACCTTTCCTATGCTGCAACCCTGCGCTTGCATGTCTCCCTAATGTGTTACTATATTTCACACAGTATTTTACTTTCGCCTGAAGTGTCAAAATGCCTCAGTTTGTGTGTCTGTGTTGAAAAGGGAGGTGGAGATGGGTTTAATTGTGGGATAGATAATTACTTACAATCACTCTTACCAAAACTAAAAAGCTGATGTGTGATGTTTGTCAGTGCACAATTCCCCCCCTGTTGTGATACATGATGCAAAAAGCACCATATCTAATATTGTAACAGATTAAATAATTATCACTTTACAGAGAGATTTTATTGTGGATGGAAATCTTAAAAGAAGACGTATATAACAAAAGTTTCTATAGCTGACATATTTTATTTATAAGAAGATGAGAAGGAGTCAAACCAGTAGATACATTTAATAGCCTGATGTCAAATCATGACCAACACAAAACCTGGCTTTTTATTTCACAACTTCCAAATAAACTGTTTTATAACCTCAAAATAGATGTTCTGCTCAAACACACTGCTCTTCCTCATGCCCACACTATTAACTCACAGTTCATATGTATATTATCAGCTTTAATTAATTTTATTATAACAATAAGAATGATTCTGATTTTGATTATTTCCCAATTACTAGTTACCCAAATTATGGAAAAACTGTATGTTCAGAATTATAATATCATCTGTTACTTAATTCTCCAGACAAATACTGAATCTTTTCTCACATATCACTCATGTTAAATTTTCTTTTGCGGAACACACAGTTCTTAAAAAAATAAGATATTTCTCAGACGCACCAAGAAACGCCCTGTTAATCTCAGGGCAGCTCTCCCAGTTCATTATACATGTCTTAAATAACTCATTATCGAGGATATCTCGATCTCTCTTTCTCCTCATGTCTCAGTTTTTATGAAAGTGGATTAGATCAATGAAATAAATGATGAATCCCATTTTTCCTAGAGATCCAACTCTTACATCAGTCATATATCCTACATTTAACGCATATTTTAGCTTCAGTCAGTCTAATGTGCTGCCTGAGAGGAATGTGCTTAGTGTTTTGTCTATGAATAATAAATGAAACTTACCATCGGATGACTCTGGATGAATGCTGGATTGCTCGGGATGGCTCAGGGGGAATGAAAAAGGACAAATATCTCTCTCCTGTCTGCTGAGCTGCCTGATTTGTCACATTCACTTATAACAATTGTCCACAATCATTTATTCTTCTTCTCCCTCCCACTTTCTCGTTCTCCCAGGTTGTCGGTCTCTCTCTCTCTCTCTCTCTCTCTCTCTCTCCCTCCGTTTCTCTCCACGTTTTATTATATCAACATGCTGGACGTGTAGTTTCAATCCTCCTTCACTCTCTTTTCCCTCTATCTATTTATCTCCTGCTCACCATTTGAACCAGAGCTGATCCTATCTGTCCTTTTCATTTTGTAATACTGATTCAGTTTTAGCTGAATACACGAGCAGCCAAATTCAGGGTCAGCTGCCACCAGTATTTTACAAATCAATTTCTTAATAATACAAAATGTTTATGTTTATGTGACTGGTGATGATGCTTATTAGATTTTTAAAGGGTTTCTGGTAAACTTGTGGGATCCAGTGTGAAAAATAAAATGCCTGCATGCTGAACATCAACCTGACTGATAAATATATTATTTATAAAAACACCTCTGTTTAAGAATGTTCTCATGCAGGAGGTTAAGCATAATCCTAAAGATGCATCAACATCGACTTTTCCAGTTTTCAGGGCTGCTTTCAGTTTGTTTGCTTTTTGAGGCTGTCATGCCTGTGATCTGACATAAACAGGAAGGAAGAGAGAGACCCCCATTTCCTCTGTATGTTTAACAGTTTACTTTTTCTTGACAGATGTGTTCCAGTAGTAACTAAGGAGCTATGAAAAAGACCATCAGAAATGAAGATACAGAAAAAAACAATAAAGATATTTTTTCTCTTATACTGTATGCAAAATTGCTTAGTTATGTAATGTCTTGTTTTTGTTTTTTGTTTTACTAAAAATGAGGTCTGACACCACCAACTTTTAAGAAATGTTCAAAAAGGTTTTTATTTTTCTTCTACATGTTCAATAAAATAATTAAACAGGTGCATCAGAAATACTGGTTTGGTTTCAAAGCTTCCAGCAAAGGCATAAAAAGATTACACACACACACACACACACACACACACACATATACAATACAAATTGTAAATACAAAACAAAAGATTACATAATAAATTGGAAATTCAGAATGTGTGATGAACCAGCACTTATTCATTTATTATATCCCTCAGACAATAGTAACAATTATTGAAAATTCAAGTTTTTAAACTTATTTGAACTTGGTAAATAAAATCTAAAACATTAAAATGTGGATACAATACATAAAAACAGTTACAGCTGAACAGAGAGGGAATGCAGTTAAGTAAGAGAACCCAGCAAATATACACATACATACATACATTTAAAATGCATCTCTGTATCTTAATTGTCATTGTTTTTTTGGCTCATGTGTTACCCAGGGAGTGGATAAAAGAGTGTTTGGCTTTTATAATATCTTTCAGATTGTCTCTGTCTGTTGATTTAAGTACCTGGATGACACAACAAGCTGTATTAGATGTACCCAATAAACAGGTCTTCTTATAATACCATCTATCATTTTTATTTTCCGTCCAAAACCAATATTATTTTTCACATAAAGAAATGACAAAAATATCTGTGTGACAGTAAAAGTTACCGAAACATGCCATTTTATCATTTTGAAAGAAATAGCTTAGTTGCATTAACCAACAGTTTCATAGCTTATAAAATACAAAGGACCAGCACTTGCTAATGAAGGATACTATTTACACCATTTTGCAGTAAAAAAAACTTGTGCATTGGCCACTACTGAGAGTGCAGATATACAGTAAGTCCATCTTTGCTCTTGAGTAACGTCTGTCTCGTCAGATGTGAGACTCTCCTGTGTCCTGGCTGCTCTTGGATGCCTGACAGAGGGGAGAGATCAGATCAGTCACAAAGCACTTTGAGTGTACTTTCATAAGGTTTGCTTTGGCACCATAATTTAACACACTTCACATCTCCTCTCATATTCCTATAATGTCATCCTGGAATAGAAATGATAAATAGATAATTGGTGTAGAACAGAAATGGTAACCAAATACAAAAACAGTATCAGATATTATACAGTATCATATTTGCTTCAGCACACGTTGCACTTATAGGAAAATACTGTTTAATCTGACAATTTCTACATAAACATGAAATATAAATATATAATTTAATACAGCTTACGGGTGTTTTGCTGGAGTTGGAGTAGTTGAACTCTGTGTATCTCTTCTTCTGGGGTGCACAGCATCTGAGTAGGATGTTTCTGTATTCTTCTCTGACCTACATTAGAATACAAATTAGAATATGAGATTAAAAGTGCAGAAGAGCTTGTTCTTTATTTTTTGAGACAAGCGAAAACTGACCTGTTTGGAAAACAGACAGTGCATGATGAAGAGCAAAACCCCCTGAAGGCTGCCAAAGATGGTGAATAGGTAAGACATGACTATGGTGCCCTCCTTGAACTGGAAACATCCAAAGATCCACATGGTTCCCAACACGCACAGCTGAGCCACTGCAGTAATAGTGAATGCCCTGCAGGAGGCAACAGAGATACATGTCAAGGAAACCCTGTGGTCAAATCTGAGGCACTCATCTCAAAGAGCCTGGTTTTTATTGAAAGAGATACATACACTCATAAAGAACATGCATGTTTCTGATCAAACGCCGTCTTACTTTATTTTCTGCAAATTGTCCAGGTCAGGGTTTAAACTCGAGAACTTCTGTGCTAACTTCCAGACCGTGATGAGAAAGAAGAAGATGTTGACCTGAAAGGAAACAGATTTGAGGTTTTAAAAAAAAGCACTGAAATCTATTTTCAAGGTTAATGGTTTAACTCATGAATGATTTTCTAACTTACAGTGATGATAACACAGGCAGGGCCAAAGAAACTCCAAATGAACTCCAGGTTTAACCAACAACTGCAAAAGGATTGAGCACACCGTGGGTCAACATAACCTGAGGTCCAAGCTTGAATTAAAGATAAAACACTCAGCATCAGAGGAGGGAACTCACTATGTCTCAGTGCCGTAACCTTTGGGATTAGCTAAGGCAGAGATGGCGACAATCACAGCTGGGACTCCATAGCCACCTGCCATCATGTATAAGGTTTTGAAGTGGGTGTTGAAGACCAGGACAACCATCCGGAAGAGTTGGATGCCCTCCAGACACATCCAGCAAAATGCTGCCAGGAAGAAGAAATGCAGCAGCCCTGCAACAACTGCACAGCCAACCTGATACAGGAGAGAGATGAGGAGGGCAGCAGTGAGAAAGGGACAAAAGATGCTGAGAAATGGGGAGAAAGAATTACGAGAAAGTCCTCTCTGAAAGGTTGTTCATATCTCCAGAACCCACATGAATCATTCAGCAGTTGTGCTGTTCATCAGCATTTATTCCTCTGAACATGTCAGAGACCTTAACCACACTCATTTGGACAGAGCAGGACTTTTGACTACGCAAGCTGTATTTGGAGTATTTTACCCGGTTCTCTGTGCGAGAGATGCCTGTGAGGAAGATGAGTACGGCGATGAAGAGACTGATGCAGAGGTGCAGGTGAATGGTGGTTCTTGGGCTCTGGATAGAGCGGATCAGTGAGAATGTCAGGATGCACACGAACAGGCAAATTAGCGAGAGGGACAGACCCACCCAGGTGATGAGCTGCAACTCAAACTTATTCTGCAGGAGGAGAGAGAGAGAGAGAGAGAGAGAGAGAGAGAGAAAGAGGGAGAGAGAGAGAGAGAGAGGGAGAGAGATCACCTGTCAAGCATATACTGTCAATCCACATCTCTTCTTCCTCCCTATATGTATATTTCCATATCGCTGTGAGTTTTAACCTTTATGTCATAGAGTGCCATGAGCACAGCAAAGCTGCTCAGATGGTTGCAGGAACACACAGTGTATTCATGGTTGGACTCCACCACACTGCAGCCACGAGGAGACCATGCGCCTCCAGCCAATGAGGAATTCCAAAACACACAGTGGCTGGTTTTATTTAACTGTAAAAGACATGAAAACACCACTTGAATTAGAGATAAATGCTATTATCTTAAAACCTTATGTACCAATTTCACAACAGCACAAATAAGGAATTTTCTTTCCTCTGTACCTTTCTCAGGTGGTACAAAGTCAGTTTGACCGGCTGATTGAGGTGGCTTGTGTTTCTGTTGCTGACGGCGACGGTCACCACCTTGGAGTTGATCTTGAGGCTGTGGTTCTCCGGCGGTTTCATCTCACCAATGAAGCCGTCTGCAGAGTCCTCCAGGTTTTCATAACTCAGCAAGGACAGTGTTGTAAAGCCTGTTAGAATCATAGCAACACTGGACTAAGTGGGCATTCATTACATTAGCAAATCATCTGTGTGTTGATGAAGTGGGAACAAATGTGTTCATTAGGTCTGATCATCACCAGGGTAGTAGGAAGGATCTCCTGCAGCTGTTTCTAACTGCATGTCCAGCCGAGCTCGCTTGGATGATGCAGTCACAGCCCCCCTGGGTAACTCAGCTCCTTTATGCACCAGCAGCTCCAGGTCTGGACCCAGATACAAAGACAAGCTTTTTATTAACACGTATTGATTGTTTGTTTATGAGATTTATATCTGAAGTGTGGAAGCAGTGTAAAACTCTGGAAGGAATAATTAAATGAGTTATGAATGAAAGGGAGAAAAAAGCAAATAAAATGCTGCAAATATATTCTGAACCTGTGTGTGCAGAGGACACATTTGTCCCTGGGGGCTGTATGAAGGGTCCCAGCAGCCTCAGGACGTTCTCCACCAAATGCAGAAAGGTGGAGACTTTCCTGTTATCGTTGAAAGCTCCACCGGACAAGAGCTCGTCAATGTTAGACAACAGCCTCTGCAGAGATGTAGAAACATTAGCATGAGCAGAGAAAAAAACAGGAGACAGAGTCAGACTGTGTCAGACTCTCAGTCTGCATACCACCTCCAATCAACATAAACACGGTTGTGCAGAGACATATGAACACCATGTGACAGAGCCTGAAGGAGCCAGAGCTTCCTGTGTCTGCACTGGTTATGAGATTTTACCTAATAAAATTGCATTTCTATTGATATGATGAAAAAAAAGCAGACATACCCTTAAAAGGTCTTCTTCATAGAAGTCTTTTGGATTCTTGGCCTCTGTGAGCTCCAGGCAAGTCTTATTCAACTGCACCATGAGGTGATGTGCAGTGGGAAATTTCTTGGAGAGTGATGAGACAAACATATGAGATAACAGACATTGTAACAACACAATATATGATGAACAGTGATAAAACTGTTACCTCTGACAGACTGTTCACATCTTTGAAACTGTCACAGTTTAACGCTGAGGAAACAGGAAGTTTGATTGATCAGATGTGCTTGCTGATGACCACAGCATTCATGTCATGAGCAAACCTGCGCTCACGAAAATGTTCTGTTTATACATTTACTGAACAAACACTGGTGCAGAATGGATGCTGGAAAAAGTTGAGCCCTGCTGTTTTCTTACCAGAGCAGCGAGACCCTTTGTCGCCATAGTTAGTGAACCCTGTGTGGCAAGCACAGTAATGGCCGCCGGCTCCACGGTGGCAGGTTCCATTTCCACAGATTGTCTTATCAATCAAACAAATATCTAAAATGGAAACAGATCAGGAAGAGGGAAAATGGTTGCAGTGTGTGTTTCAGTCAGCGCTAATGGAACATTAAATATCTCGGCACACTCCAACGTTCATATCCAAAATGGTACTTGTTAGTATTTTACAGATAATGGATCAAAGAAAAAACATGAAGGAAAATAGTAATCAATAGACATCCATTCACTAAACCAACTCGTTTTGTAACCAAACTAAAAATAATCTTTTCTAGTTCTAAGGATCTAATTTAAATTCGGAACTAAAATCAAATGTTTCATCTGGTTCCACTTTTCTGGGAAAATTTCCTTGAAGCAACACAGATCAAAATAATGTGCAAACATGGCCCCTGTTTAGTTATTTTATATAATGGAAAATGTACACTATTTATATAATGTTTTTCTAGTCTTACCAAACTTTTAAAGTATTTTGAAGAACATGTTCACCCACACATTCACACATTGCTGTCAGGGGCTATTTGGGGCTCAGTGTCTTGACCTTTTTATCATGCAGGGTGGAGGAGGTGGGGATCGAAACACCAACATCCTGATTTGCCGATGACACGTTTTACCTCCTGAAACACGGCTTACCATGACTCAACACAATGTAAGACTCATTTTAAGCTGTTTAACCCAAAGCTTATGCGCCATTTTATAGCCCTTACCTTCACATTGCTCCTGATTCCCAGAGAAGTCTGATTTGCCAGATTTCATTCCAAAGCCAGCGTTGCACACACAAAGATAACTGCCTGCTTTGTTGATGCATGTAGCATTTTGACCACAAACCTGTTCCTCTTGACATTCGTCAATATCTGGTGAGAAGGAAGCAGACACTCAAGAGTTACTGCAGCAGAAACTCTGATCATTTTTTTTCTTGCCTCAAGTAAAGAGCCACTAACATCATGTCACTACAGCACATGGGGATCAATTATATATATATATATATATATATGTACGTTTTTCCCCCGTATATAAATACTCTTACCTCTACATGTCACATTGTCACCACGAGTAAACTTCTCCACCCCTGTGGTCGAGTTGAATCCATCATTACAAATGCAGGAGTAAAATGGACTTGTGTTGAAACACTGAGCATTAGATCCACAGATGTCTTTGTCTTCCATACACTCATTGATATCTGAAAGCAAAACAGAAATCTCACTTTTGTTGTGAATTATGTTTAGTAAATGTGAACGAGACTCAATACAATACAAGATGACTCACTTCTACATGTCGCGGATGTGTTAGCCAAGAAGGTCACAGTGCCTGTCGACGATCTGTAACCGTCTTTACATTGGCAGTGGAAGCCACCGTGGGTGTTGATACAGAGAGAATCTTCTCCACAGGGTCCAATTTCTTCTGGATCATTCTCGTCCACGGCACACTCATCATTGTCTTGATCAGAAAATCAGGAACATGAAAAAACTCTTTGTACTAGAACAAATTCAGTTGAAGGACAACAAATCAAACATGGAATTTTTATACATAATCTTTCACAGAAATTCCTCATCACATTATATCTTTAAAGTTTCTAAATTCTGAAAGAAAAGATAAGCAATCTGTTAAAAATGCCATAAACACGCGCACATGCCACAACATGCTTGTTTTTCAACGGTGAGTTATGTGTGAAGGTAAGTTTGTTTTTCATACCAATGCAAATCGACTTCACTTTGTTAAATCCATTGGGACAGGATGCTTTGGACAGGACTATGACGACAGAGAGGCACAGAGCTGAAAAAACAAGCAGGCAACTGTTCAGTCCACAGTTTATCATCCTCTGAACATCACTGCAACATCTGTTACACTTGTACTCGAGCTTAATCTAAACTTTCTCCCCTTTTTAACCATTTTAAAATAGTTTGTTGCAGCTACAGGGACACAGCAGAAATGATCAGGCTCAGTAGAAAAGGTAAATACCCTCACCCTATCCTCACATTTCCTGAGATTGTTCCCGAACGCATCTGCACCATAACTCAAAATGAACAATAAATGGGTTTCTGCAGAACTCTGCTTCCTATAAGTGAGGAAACGTGAGCTGGCATTGTGCAACACAAATACTTCTACATCCTCTGCTGTGTGAGCCCACAGTCAGTCCCCCAAGGGGCGAATGTATGGAAAAACAGGAAGAAAGTGCTGTTCCATTATTTGTCAGCATTATTGGGCTGTATTTTGAACCAAGTGTAATCCTTAAAGAAATAACCAACCATGCCCTAGCCATGAAGATTTGCTTTATTTGCTGATATTCTGAGATATTTGATATTAATGATTTGAATACAAATTATTGGCTTGATACAGATGTTATCAGAGGGAAGTGGGAAAGTAAAGCATTTATAGTAATTTTTGCGTGAAATTACCACTAAATAACTAACTTGAGGAGACTTAGTTACTCAAGAAGGGAAACAAATTTATCTGTGGACAGCTGCAATTATCATCTCTTCACCTCAGAACAGGAAAACATAGAATAAAATAAAAAATGTGCTTTCTTGGAATCATGACATCATAAAGTAGCACGGCAACACTGAATGTTTCTTCCACCGATGTGTGTGTGACTGTGGTTACTAACCAGCACTATGGGTGCTGAGCGATGAGCTCATAGTGTGTAAAAATAGACGGACAGAGGATCAGTGGTTGTCTGTGCAGTTGAGCCCAGATAGTGGGTTATTTGGAAAGAAGCTGCTGTGCTCCGCATCACTCTCCTTCCTTTTCTCTCGATTCATTTGGGCTTTTTCCTACACTCAAAGTCCAGGACGCTGATACTGTATCAGAGTTTGCATTTTTCCCCCATGTCTGTGTGGGTTTTTGTGCTCCGCCTTCCTCCCACAGTCCAAAGACATGCAAATCGGTTAAAGGTTATTGGAAACTCTTGACTGTAGGTGTCAGTATACGTTGGCCCTGTGATATGTTGGTGAACTCTATATGGTGTACCGCTATCTCTCACCTAATGTCACATGGGATAGGCTGCAGCAATCATCAAATAATATAGAGATAGATACATACTCTATAATGGTAATTTACTCTATACTGGACTTTAGATAAGGTTGCTGGCAGAACAAAGTGATAAAATATGGAATTTAAAACCAACTTGACCATTATTACCTGTAGTAAATGTATGTATTTATTAGTTATTGATAAGTAACTATACTAAAAGTTTCATTAGACAAAAACATTTAGGCCTATATAACTCTGCAGGGTACTGCCTCAGCTTGGTTTCCTTTCTACGAGCACAGAATGTTTGGAACTTTTTAAAAACAGATGATATTCCATTCTTACTACAATGCACAGGGACAAAAAATGTGACTCACCAGGTATTATGAGGTTCCACCTGCCCGTCATGGTGGACAAATGAATCACTGTCCAGGTCAGTATATGAGGTCAGTACATACACAAAGTCCAAACAGCCGAAACATAAACGTGGGAACTCTCCAAGTCAAAGGGTCAAATCCTCTTCTTTTCTCTTCTCTTTTCAACTTCTCCAAAGTGACTGTGACTGAACAAAGGAAGAAAAAAATGTTTGCATCCCGCAGTCAAGTTAACAGTTGTTGAAAGTGTGTTCAGTTGCCAACAAAAAGCAGAATATATATGTATAAAAAAGAATGAATCAGTCTCTTTTCTCTGTCCTCTCTCCCTCTGCCTCTGTCTCCCTCCTCCTTTTGAATCTCATGATGGTGAGTTGCTGGGATGACTACATTTTCTGGGGAGGGGTTTAACTCTCTCTGACTAACTCCCACACTGTCTGGCAGTGCAGCCTGCAGAAGTTTCTGATAACTCTTTCACTACAGCAACATGTTACAGAACAGCTTTTTATTCCCCCCACATTATTTATGTCTCAGTGTCAGTGTCTCTGCTTATTTTGCTTTATCTTTTCCTTCACGTTGGATTCTGTAAGAAGAGGATAGAGAGAAGGTCAAGGAGTTTCTGTCAATGGTCATTGTTTTACAGAATCCATCTGGCTGGCAGACCCTCCCATAGACGGAGTGTTAGCACCTGGTCTGTGAATGACGATGACATATATATGTTCTTTGCCTCAGACTGCATCAGATGGAGAAAAATGCAACAATGGTAACACAGATTTATTTAGAAAAGCAAACAAAGAACTGCTGAGTATATATAACTAGATTTGTATTTCCCCAGTCCCCAAAGGCTGGTCTGCTGTATTCTTATTCAATAAAAGATTGACCAAATTCCTTGAGGTCATATGGGTGCTCACTGAAAAACAAAACAAAACCCCACATACAGTATGTCATTATCTTTTTGTCTTTAGTTTGAAATGAATGTCATCGAAGGAAGTACAGCCTCTTGTGTTATTCACACCTTTTTTTCCAACCTCATTATGTTGGTGTCAGAGGTGCTACATCTACAACATTGACTTATGCAGACGATTGGGGGCTGTTTAAGGCTGAGAGATAAAACTGTAAGTAAATGCTTACAAGCTGACGGTGTTCAAATGGAACAATAAAAAATTGTTAAAGTTTCAGCAACTATTCAAGAACCGAAAGTGTGGTTGTTGCATTATTTCACACTTTCACACTCAACAGTGTGGCTGGCTTTGGGCTTTGTGCGTGTGGGAACACGAGGGTAACAGAAAACAGCTTCTTAGGGACTGGAGGTTTGGAGCAGTTCCATGGAGCATGATCACAGAATGACCCTGGATTATACTGACATTAGCCTGACCTGTTTATAAAGTCTGGTTTGATATGATAGTAAAACAGTCAAAGAGCTTACCTTCTCATATTTTTTCACTCAATAACGTCTTTCAAAAAGTGATAAAAGGGATAAAATACACGCATTAACTTCAATTCTATGGCAGCCATGGGGGTGGCTACCTACAGAAAATGCAAAGCTCCCACATGTGCAAACACACAATTCAGGGAAAATCTACATATACTTGATATCAACTTTGATTTCACTGTCAGTCACCTTCTTCAAACCCTAACCATGATGATCCACTCTACAACCATGTACCACCACCACCAAGTAACAATGTTGAGTGAAAACAATGCTAACCTGAATATACGGGTTAGAGTTATGGTTCGTGCAGGTTTATTTTGGGGATGGGGGTCAGGAATTCAACTGGCAGTGGCGGTACCATAAATCAGAGCCCGACAGTTTTGATAAAGTAATGTAGCTTTCAGTCCTACAGCTCGGCCTCTGTAGCTGCATTGTAGTTGTTGGGTTGTGCAGTTACTGGAGTAAGAATCTGTGCCTTGAGTATAAGCAACATGACACACAGATTGGACACAGAGTGTGTAAACTGGGAACCATGGCTGTTGTAAAAGGTGGTTGTCAATAACAACATGAAGTACACACTAGGGAACCACTCTTACTATGACAACACTAACTACACAACAACACAATAAGGGAAACTTCAAGTGTTGCACCTCAGGTAGGGAATTTTTCACTGTTGCACAAAGTTGCCATGTGTAATGTTGAAACTGATTTTTAGAGCCCTCTTCTTTGGTAACAGGATGAGTCCACAGTAAAATACACATTAATGTACAATATTAACACAATTCATCAATAACAATAATATTAATAATAATAATTATCATACATTTTATTTCTAAACACCCAAGGACACAATATATCATAAACAAACATATTATACGTATATAATTTCACACATAAGAGACTGATCCAGAGACACACTTATCAATACAACATAAGTGACACAAGAGTAGTTCAATTAAAACCAAGGTTAAAATCAGACATAGACACATGACAGTTAATCCTATGTGACCACAAGAGTGACAAGTAAAACCAAAGGTTAAAATCCGATTAGTGAGGGATGGATGGGATGACACGAGCGGAAGACTGATTCAAACAGATGTGTTGTGAGCAGTGAACAGTCCATCAGACTCCAGCTGGCAGATGTGAGGTGCCAGAGAGCAGCAGAGTGGTGGTGCAGAGCAGCTGAAGGCTCTGCAACATACAGGATTCCTCCTCACTTGCTGATTATTCTCACATAATAAAACATGGATGTATAACTTATTCCAACATAAAAAAACTAAACAAAACAGAGATATAGCCTTTGTGTAGTAGCACTACTGCAAATATCTTTTTTGTATTTTTCAAAAAATTCAGTAATTGACTGTAAATGATGTATTGCATCATGCACTATATCCATAATGCCATGCAAATTACAGTAACAAACTCCAGATGTGTGGATACTGTGTATTTTGGGGTAATCAACTGTAAAAATATAGCCAAGGGTAACAGTGGCTGGTGGCAGGTTATGGAGGGTATTATTATTAAAGGTGACTGAAGAGGAAATATATAGGAAAAATAATTCTACTCAGTGCAACACGTGAATAAAGAATCCTTTTCAACCCGAAAGCCAACTGTTGCCACCGGCCCAGACACAGAATCGACATTAAAAGCCCGTCTGACTGTGTGTGTGATGAATGTTTAGGTGACAGGATATTGTGGTCGCTCAATGCTGTGCTGAGCTTGGTGAATCACTGAGACGAGGCCAGAGCTGCTCGTAGCTGCATACTCAGAACACAAATAAAGACACAGATTAATCCTGGCTTCTTTTTCAAAGAGTGATTCTGTGCTCAATACGATCATGGCGAACGTCCAGGGCTTATCCTCCTTCATGGCCAAACCAAAATAGTATGCATGTATAGAGATTTGGACATTTTGTGTTGGTTGAGCTTGTTTACTTTTAGCTTCTTTCTGAGATCTTATCTAATCTCGAACAATGAGGGGGGACTGCAGCGTGGCTCAACAACTTCCTACATGGAGACGGACAAGTCTCGTCCGACTGCTGTGTCTGTCCCACAGAAAAGACAGAGACTCGTTTCAACATGTTCAGTTTTTAGAAAAGTCTGCAGTTGTCAGTGAATCAATAAATACGCTGAAGCTATCACACTATTCTTGGTGCGGAATGATCCTTCCTCATGCAAGTTTACTTGGCCAGTTAATTTCAAAATCGTTGTTCTCCAATAATTTTCTCCTACCTGCAGTTGTGTAAATATTTGGGAAATGGCCGAGTGGCACACTTCTTGTTGTACCTTGTATTGTGAAGCACTTTGGAACAACCAAGTGGTTTTAAATGTGCTATGTAAATAAATTTGACTTTGACGTTGACAGAAAAGTGTTGCTGTATCATACCATACACCAAAATTTGTGGCGTGATACAACACTGTTGGAGGCTTGTAGTTAAGCAGAATGCACCCTTTAGTTTTTGATCAGAAAAAAAGGTGTTGCTGAAGAAGCTGACAAACCTTCTGTGCAGATCATGTTTTGATATGGATGCATGTAGAGACATAAAGACAAAATGTCAAACCTTAAATTGTCTTATAATGATAATGTTTAGATAGATAAATAGACATACTTTATTCGTCACCGAGGGGAAATTCTTGTGTTCCAGCAGTGCAGACATGTGCAATAAGTACAGTTCCTTTTTTTCTACTTTTTTTTTTTTACATAGAAGAGCATACATGTAGGACGGTGACTGAGTTGTTCAGACAGAGCAAAGTTAAAAGTTAAAACAGAGGAAACTGGTTGAATGTTTCAGTCATCAAGAAGCATAAGAGCATAAATCATATCTTTATACTGGTTCCTACTTATATATTTTCATTTTTATATTTATGTTTACACAAACACGACACAGCAAATTCCTTGTACATGTAAACCTACTTGGATGATATAAAACTGTCTTTCCACTTTGTCCCTGCGTGGCTTTTCCTCTGTTGGAAGCTAACCATAAAAATCGTTTGTATAGTCGAATTTCCATCTTCCTTTTGTGCCTTTAGCGTCTTCCCTTTTAAAAGCGGCCCAGGGCAGACAGAAGGTTTTCACACTATAGTAATTCTGAAAAAATTATACCACAGTTCTGAAGAGCAGAGAAGCAGATGAGTGCATTTAACCCAAGAAGCGTTTCGTGTTGTTATATTTATTATGAAACGTAATCATATTTTACCACCGAGTTGTTAGTGGTATACTATAGATAAAGCATTAAACTTGACTTAACTTGACTTGTTAGCAGGGCCTGTAGACCTGCAGGGAGCTTTCTCTTTTTATAATCACATGGTTTGGGAGTTATTTTAGAAGAAGAAGGAGATTTTCTTTGCTGTTTGAAATTAATCTACTGTTTGTTTGTTTGGAGATTTTCAGATTTTGTCTTTTTTTTTTGTCACCAATGAGACTTTTCTCTTTTCGAAAGAAGAAACAAGACTTTTATCTTGATCAGATATATTTTTGTTGGCAACACAGGTTTGCAGGAAGTCATTCTAAAATATCGAGATTTGTACATTAAAACCCAAAGGTCAGTCAGATCAGTCAGTTTCACAGTTTCATTTCAGTTTTACATCTGCTCCACTAACATGCCGTGCATCGATGGATTTTCCTGTGAGAATTTAGTCTTTTCGACATTTGCAATATCCAAGTGTTTTTGGTCGACTTTAGAACAATGTTTTCATATAACTGGATGTTAAGCGTTATCAGAATGGCACCAGTAACCCCAAACAGCACAGCACCCTGCCCTGCCAAACTGAGAGAGCACTCCAACAATATGCGCAAAATGACATTTCCTTTATATAAGTGAGAAAAAATAGCTATGACGCATAAAGAGGAACTGCGCCCACACCGTCATACTCTGACAAACTTACTGGGGACTCAGTGCTGAGCTGAATGACACAGTGTCAATTTATCATTTTTTGAAACAGTTCCTTCAGTTCCTCAGTTTAATCCATAAAAAATAATGTTAAGTTTCAAATGACTTGTATTATGGTGTTGAGAATTTGCCAGAAAATGTGTTTTTGCATAAAATGTCACAATGAAGTTGACCTCTGACCTTTTCTGTGTAAAATGTTCTCACATCATCGTATTATCAAATCAGGCTTTTGTGTGTTTTTTTAATAGTCGGTGTAAGAATTATTAACATCCAAAAACATGTCTTGTGAGGTTATTATGGTTTTGACCTTTGACCTCCATTTTCTAGTCAAGTCATCCTTGACTAGAAAATAAATGTTTTTGGCAGATGTAATGAAATTCCTCATGGGTGATTCCTGATATATCACAACAGCATGACGTCACATGACCTCGACCTTTGACCTTCAAACACCAAATTCTAACCAGTTCAAATTTGAGTCCTAGTGAAGGTTTGTACCAAATTTTAAAAAACTTCCCCTCAAGGCGTTACGTACATACACGAGAATGGAACAGATGTACGGACAGATAAACTGAGAACATAAAGCCTGACAACTGTCACTGGTGCAGAGCCACAAAGAAGAAATGATAACAAGGGTATGTTCCACAGTAGAAAGGGGGGAAGGAAGTCACTGTCATGTGACCCTGTGAATGTACATCACACCTCATTCCTCTTTTGTTGAAGTGTAAAAAAGTGTATTTTTTGTGTTAAACACAAACACCCAGTTTACTGACTGTCACTGAATGAAGAAATACATCTGTATCCTTCACCTCTAACTTCAATAACAGTGTTTAAAGACCCAATCTGCAAGTTCAGAACCATTTAAATCAAAGGTATCATTACAT